TTGGCCCACTGTTTTGTCTTGCAGCCTATATTCCGATCTTACTGCCTCAGCTAAGGAAGACAACCCACAGGCTGCAGTGGATCGATTCTTGACCCTCCATGCAAGCTTAAATAATGCTCGTATGCTTGCTGATTCTTTATCGAGAATTATTCCAGTTGGTTCATCTCCGGAATCAGAAGGAACTCTGCCAGAAGACGCTGTAAAGATTTCATCAGATAGACGAAAATACGCAGCTTCATGGGTGCAAGCTGCATTGGCTACCGATATGTCATCTTTCTCTGTATTTGCAAAAGAACATAATTCTAAGCCGGGTCATGGTTCAGCTTCTGCACAAAGCCAGAAGACTATCCCTGCCAACCAAAACATATTAATTCTCGAAAGTTCGGACAAGAATGGTGCCGCAAAATCGCAAGGAAAAACCCGTCCAGTAGTTGTTTCTAAGCTTGTAGCACAGGGTGTTCTCCACAAACCTGGGAACGGTTCATGTCTCGGTCCCAAGATTCCAGTCCAACCACCACCGGAAATATGGACAAGGGGGAATGGACTTGATGAGGCTGTTGATATGGCTGATATGTTGCGAATGGAATCCCAGGATTGGTTTTTAGGATTCGTCGAGAGATTCTTGGACGCCGATGTAGACAAGTCTGCTCTATCCGACAATGGTCAAATAGCCGGGATGTTGACGCAGCTCAAGTGCGTGAATGACTGGTTAGGCAAAATTAGCTCAAGCAAAGATGATGGCGAGACGCCCCCGTACGTTTCGTTGGAGACGGTAGACAGGCTTAGGAAGAAAATATATGATTACCTTCTTACACATGTAGAATCCGCCGCTGCGGCTCTAGGCGGCGGATCACAACTGTCGCCGCCCATTCGAGCAGTTGAAACTAAACCGAGAAAGTGAGACATTCAATCTTCATGAGATGCAGTTAGGCACAACGAATGTCGGAGTCAGAGGATGTTACCGATTCATTGACATGTACATAAATTCTACATGGTTTTCGAGATATCGATGCCGAAAAATCATGCCGGAATCATGTCGAGAGAAAGGGTTTCGATTCAAAGTTTAGGTGAATTCATTTTATTTTCTTTTTTGAAAGTGTTCATCCTCATCTATCAAACTTGAAATGGTATCTTTCAGAATTCATTTTAAGATTTGAAAAAAAGGTATTTATACAACTCAGTTCCATTGGCAACTCAGTTAGATTTCATGTTCAACTCGATCTATGATTATGTTCGAATCGAGCTGAGCTCAAATAATATCAAAGTCAAGTTTAATTCAAAACTTAATTGAACTATCCGAGTTGGGCTCAATCAGGTTTAATTCAAAATTCATTATAGAAGCTTGAGTTTAAATCGAACTATCCGAGTTGGGCTCAATCACGTTTGTATACATGATTTACATATTTGAATTTGAGTTCAAATTCCATTCATATATATATATATATATATAAAGCATATTGCGCGCTTAGTACTTAAATTATCAGTTTTGATCCGTTTTGATATCTAGACTTTTAATTTTTTTTGAAAACATATCTAACATTTAGTTTTTATTTCATTTTAGTAGTTCACTATTAAAAATTTAACGAGTGATTTGCAGGTGGCACCTTTTTTATAGGTAAGTTGCATCACTCACCACTCAATTATCTTCTTACTCCTATTCTGGTCACTAAAGTTTATTTTTTTAATTTAATTACTTAATTTTCAAATTACTCATAATTCAATCATTCTAACTTTCAAATTTATATATTTTTATTTTTAATTATATATTAATAAAATAATAATAAAAATGCCATGTCACAAAAATAATTAATAAAATAAAATAGAGTGATTAAAATAGGAGCAATTTGAAGGTTGAGTGGTTAAATTGAAATTTTTTAAACTTTAGTACTAAAATAGGAGTGAGAAGATAATTGAGTAACGAATGATAATTTACCCATAAAAAATGTAGGGTCGTTAAGTTTTTAACTGGGAGATACTAAAATAAAACAAAAACAAATGTTAAGTATGATTTTGAAAAAAATGAAAATTTAGATACTAAAACGGATCAAAACTGATAGTTTAAATACTAAAAACGAAATTTACCATGATTTCTTTGAAAATAACTCAAGTGATAACTCAAGTGACCAGGCCCATGATTTCTTTGAAAATAAGTTCCTTTTCACGTGATATCGGTACAAGGAAAGTCCAATTTTTCACACTATAATCTCGTTTACCATGTTGGACCACACACTTCTTTGACAAAGTTGAGCACCTAATAAGATTCCTTATTGGATTGATTGGTAGTGTAAAACCATCCTTGTTGGAATTTTATATAATCTTAATATTCGATCTATTAATCGAATCCTTCGTATCGAATATTATATAAATTTATTATAAAGAATATTGAGGATAAACATAAAATTTAAACTCGACGAATTTTGACTTAATCTTATAAAATTTATTCTTTTAAGAAAATAATGAACTCATATTTTAATTTGATCATGAATAAATGTAATTATTTGTGTATAGAATATGTAAGACTTATATCACAAATAAGTACCCAAAGTATCATCCTTTTCATTAAGTACCTAAAGTATTTTTTGGTCAAAACAAGTACCTAAAATATTTTAGGTCAAAATAGGCACCTAAAATATTTTATGTCAAAATAGATACCTAAACTATTTAAATATTCTCATCTAAGTTCTAAAAGTTAACATTTGACATTAATAAAAGAATATTTTAGGTACTTAGATAAAAAAAATTAAGTACTTTAGTTACATATTTTGACATTTTTGGTCAAAACAAGTACCTAAAATTATATTTTAGGTCAAAATAGGTACCTAAAATATTTTATGTCAAAATAGATACCTAAACTATTTAAATATTCTCATCTAAGTTCTAAAAAAGTTAACATTTGACATTAATAAAAGAATATTTTAGGTACTTAGATAAAAAAAAATTAAGTACTTTAGTTACATATTTTTGACAAAAAAATACTTTAGGTACCTATTTTACCAAAAAAAAAATAACTTTAGGTACTTACTTACCAAAAACTTAAGTGAAAAAGATAGTATACTTTAGGTACTTATTTGTTATATAAGTCAATACATAAATATGATAATATGTGTACAAGTACATATATTTATTTTGGGTATATTATGTATTTAATATATAAACTATTAGTTTTAGTCCATTTTAGTACCTGAACTTTCATTTTTTTCAAAATCATACTTAAATGTTTAGTTTTTGTTTTATTTTAGTATCCAACCGTTAAAAAATTAACGCGTTTAGTACCTACACTATTAGTTTTGGTCCGTTTTAGTACCTAAACTTTCAATTTGTTTCAAAATTAACGTTGAATTTCTAATAGGGTACTAAAATAAAACAAAAACTAAAATTTAAGTATGTTTTGAAAAAAATTGAAAGTTTATGTACTAAACGGATCAAAAATGATAGTTTAAGTACTAAATGTGTAGTTTACCCACCATTAAAAACTTAACGCGTTAGTGTCTAGACTATCAATTTTAGTCCATTTTAGTACCTATACTTTAAATTTTTTCTTCAAAATTTAATGTTAAATTTTGAAATGGTACTAAAATGAAATAAAAATTAAATTTTAGGTATGATTTTAATTTGGAAGTTTAGGTACTAAAACAGACCAAGATTGATAGTTTAGGTACTAAACTCGCAATTACCTATTTTATTATATTATATTATTATAAATACATTAATTTGGTTTCGTATTGAATAAATATAATTATTTATGTATAAAACATGTAAATGAAAATGATGTTATGTTCATATTGATTTTAGTAATATGTGAAATTTGAATTAGATTGAAGCTTTATGTATACAATGACATATAATCAAAGTTCATATATCTTATTGCACATTTAATAAAAACTCATATGTAATTTTAATATTTGAAAAATCAAACTCTTTACCATTTGTCTTAGAATTACTAATTCTAATAAAATTTTGGGTAAAGTACGCAAATGGTCCTCTGACTATATGATAGTGCTTTATTAAGTTCCTCAACTGTTAAAGTTACAAAATGGTCCCTTAATTATGGAGAGCTACTTTATTGAGTCCATCGACTATTAAAAGCTACAAAATGGTCACTCGACTATTCAATATGTTCCAAACTCGTCCTTTTTTTGCTAAAAATTTAACGATTAATTGAGTTGTATATTAGCATGTTGACTGAGATATGATAGTTGTTTGAGATTATGAGATCATATTTTATCATATCTCAGTCAACAAGTTAAGTATATCTCAGACCATCGTCAATTTTTAACGGAAAAAGATAAGTTTGGAACATAATGAATAGTCGAGTGGCCATTTTGTAACTTTTAATAGTCAAAAGAATAAAAAATAACTCCCTATAGTTAAGAGACTATTTTATAACTTTTAATAGTCAAGGGACTTAATAAAGCAATATTCTATATTCAAGGGACCATTTGTATACTTTACCCTAAAAATTTTACAAGTTAATAAATTTATATGGTGAGTTTATAATAGAAACTTAGAAGCACCTAAAAAAGAATATAATATAACTGGGTCAATTTTTTCATTAGTCTACATATAATATCTAATTTGTGAATTTAATTAATATATTACAATTTAATTTTTTTAGTTCTTGTACTTTTTAGAAATTTAGAATCTCATTCCTGACCTAAATAATAATCCCTAAATTTATTAAATTAAATTTCTTAATTGATCTCTATATCATGCGGAAGTTGTAGATTTAATTTTTATTTTCTAATTTGGTTATTTTAAGATCATGTGATTTTGTTATATTATTCTTTTACTGTTTAGATTAGTATTGAATTTTAAAATTTTAAAAATATAAGGTCTAAATATAATGAAAATAGAGTATGAGAATTAAATATGAAATTTAGTTATAGTAAGAGGACTAATGACGGAATTTGACCACATATATACATTATAGACTAAAGTAAAGACGCAAATATAGTTATGCCAAGGGCTTATATGACATTACGCTTTCTATATGCTTTTAGCTTTCTTTTTTAGATCAGAACTCCATTAGAAGTCAAGCTTTGATGACTTGAAACTTAGCCAGAAATGGTGAAACTCGTCGCCAAGCAGTCGTTGCTCCTTTTACTTGTCCTATGTCTTCACTTTCTCTACTTCGATTTCGCTCTCTCCGAGATCTACTTCGAAGAACGCTTCGAAGGTAAAAAGATGAAGGAAAATTAAACACTTTTGGATTGATTTGTTCTTAGCAAATTAGTGATGAAATTTCCGTTTTCTTCTTTTTAGGATTTAGTAACGCAAAATCTGTAGCTAAAAGTGAACATAGAGGATTCGTATGGTAGTGATAAGAAAAAAAGAAGATTCTGGAAGTTTTGGTCAAACAGTTTGACTTTGTTACTGTACTTGTAGTTTATCATTTTGATGATGGATGCTGGTGTGTTTCAATGATTTGAAGTGACTTTATATTGATTGAAGTGTGTTTATCATGAAAATGATTTTTTATTTTTCTTATTTTGGTTTCTATAATTCTTTTGGATCAATTTTTTATTTGCAAAGTAGCCGACCGAGAAGTTTCTGTTTTCTTCTTTAGGATTTAGCAACGGAAAGTCTGTAGCTTAAAGTAATTATTGAGGATTCATATGGTAGTGATAAGAAAAAGAAGATTCTGGAAGTTTTGGTCAAACAGTTTGACTTCATTACTATACTTGTATTTTATCATTTTGATGATGGATGCTGTGTGTTTCAATGATTTGCAGTGACTTTATTTTGAGTGAAGTGTGTTTATTATGAAAATGATTTTCGATTGTTTTTATTTTGGTTTCTATAATGCTTTTGGATCAATTTGTTCTTTGCAAAGTAGCCGAGAAGTTTCTGTTTTCTTCTTTAGGATTTAGTAACAGAAATTGTGTAGATAAATAAACATAGATAATTTATAGGTTAGTGATAGGAAAAGATAATTCTGGAAGTTTTCGTCAAACAGTTTGATAGTATCTTTGTACTTGTGGACTGTAGTTATCATTTACCGTGTGTTCTAATGATTTGAATTGATTTTATTAAGTGATTGATTATGAAACTGATGTTCGATTTTTCTTGTTTGGTTTATTTTATGGGATTTGGAGACAGATGGGTGGAAGAGCCGTTGGGTGTTATCAGATTGGAAAAGGAGTGAGGGAAAAGCCGGCACCTTTAAGCATACTGCTGGCAAGTGGTCTGGTGATCCTGATGACAAAGGTATATTTATACTGTTTTATGTATATATAAATGTTGAATCAGGAAGTCTAGTAATTTGAGGTAAAATATGCAGTTGCTATTATATAATTGATTCTGTAAATTGGTTGTGTTCTATCAGAATTGTTGTTGTTATTATTATTATTTTGAATTTGTTCATCTAAAAGGGGTCAAATATAGATGTCTTAATATCCAGGGCCGCATGAAACATAGTTACATATATGGAAGGCCAGCCAAATTTTTGCCTTTGACTCTGTGTGTCTACATATATGGAAAACACCACTGAGGGCTGACTATAGCTGATTTTTTTATGCTTGGAAATCTTGCAGGTCTTCAGACATACAATGATGCCAAACATTATGCTATCTCTGCTAAGATACCAGAGTTCAGCAACAAGAACAGAACTCTAGTGGTTCAATATTCTATCAAAATTGAACAAGACATTGAATGTGGTGGTGGTTACATTAAGCTTCTCTCTGGTTATGTAAACCAGAAGAAATTTGGTGGTGACACTCCCTACAGGTCGAGCAATTTGTTTGATCATATAATTATAATTGACTTGCAAATCCAGACTGAGATAATTAGTTATCTACAAGAGAAATTAGACTGTTGACCTGCAATTTGATTTTTCAAAGTATTTCAAAGATGGGTCAAGGATATAAAGCAACACAGCAATTGGCTTAGTGAGGAAACTATACTATTATTAAATGTCTGATTGACTTGGTGACTTGATTCAGTGATGCCAACTCAGCCAGTGACATGACAAAATAATAAAAATCTGGTTATAGTAATTTTATTAGATAAAGTATAAAAATGTCATTTAGTATGAAGAACTACCCACTAGCCAAAATTCTTTTTCCTCTTATGTTTATGTCGAAATCACATCTGTTACATGTGTATGCATATTTTGGTACCACATATCATTTTCTTGTTAAATTGCATATTTTACTTGACCTGTTGGAGGCATTTTCCTTTTTTATATATATTCTATAATTGAAGCCAATACTATTATAAGACTTGCTTCGAATTACTTCAAATGCTAGCTGATTGGGCTTTTGCCATGTTGCAGTTTGATGTTTGGACCAGACATTTGTGGCACACAGACCAAAAAGCTTCACCTTATACTATCCTACCAGGGACAAAATTATCCAATTAAAAAGGATCTACAATGTGAAACCGACAAGCTAACACACTTTTACACATTTATACTAAGGCCCGATGCCTCTTACAGTGTCCTAGTTGATAATAGAGAGAGAGAAACTGGCAGCATGTACACTGATTGGGATATCCTTCCTCCACGGAAAATCAAGGATGTTAAAGCCAAAAAGGTCAGACTAAGAGTCAATATGGGATATTCATTCATAGACAACAACTCTGAGATGATGCATCAATATTATCCGGAAATAATATAGTTCCTCTCATTGCTTTTTGAGTTCGCTTGTATGTTCTAATCTAATTGCCTGCTGCTTCAAAAAATTAACTCATTTTTCCTATTTCTACAGCCTGCAGACTGGGATGATAGAGAATACATTGAGGATGCTAATGATGTCAAACCAGAGGTAAGACATTCTTATTGTCTTTTCAGAATGGTGATATATGAAACGGTCATGTGATTTACTATGAACTAACTTTATTATCTGGTTTTATGTAGGGATATGATAAAATTCCTGCCGAAATTCCAGATCCTAAGGCAAAAGAGGTTTGTGCTCTTTATTAAAGTCCAATGGTCTTATTTCATATGGCTAAAACAGTTTCAGGACAGACCGCTTGGACTGATTACCTTTCTTTTGTATAAACACATTGGCTCTTTATTGATCATGTTGTTGATATGCTTTCAATGATAAGAAGTCATTCTTTACATGCCTTGTAGCCTGATGATTGGGATGATGAAGAAGATGGTATTTGGAGACCACCCAAGATCCCAAATCCAAAATACAAAGGACCATGGAAGCCCAAGGTACTTTCAAGCGTATAACATAAGATAGAAACTGACATTTCTTCAAAATTTCTAACCTTTGCATGCCTTCTGCAGAAAATCAAGAACCCCAACTACAAGGGAAAGTGGAAGACTCCATGGATCGATAATCCAGGTATGTTCTATTCACCAGATGTCAGTGGCTTGATGGTAAAATCACTAATTTGAAAGTTTGAAACTAGAGCATAAGCAGGGGATTTCAACTTCTCAAAATGCTTATTACAGTCTATTTAAGTGGTCACTGAGCTGCAATCCAAACTACTTTTTGCATTTCTAAACGTTTGCCTGTCGAAGATTGCAGTATACACATTGCAATATATATCTATGCCTGTCCTCAGTCCAGTCTCGAGTATATACTGTCTACTTTCTGTTCTCATTGTTTCTTCCTTTTTCTGTCTCCTTAGAGTTTGAAGATGATCCAGACCTCTATGTGCTGAAACCAATCAAATACGTGGGTATTGAAGTCTGGCAGGTAAGCATCAAACATTTCTTCATATGCTCCTGGTGGTTGAAGATAGAACTTCTCTTTTTATGAACAAAAGAAACAATCCTATTGTGCCAAAAGTGACAACTTTCCAAGATGGTGGTGGTTATCATTTTTTTTCTTCAGTAATGTTAAATGACATGGCGTGCCTCGTATTCCATGGTACATTTGCATGTTGGTTGGCAACCCATATTGAATGCCTAAGATCAGCTGTATAGCAAAACTAAATGGATTATATTTCATATTGCAGGTAAAGGCTGGTTCAGTTTTTGACAACATATTGATTTGTGATGACCCACAATATGCAAGAGAAATTGTAGAAGATTTTTCGGGCAACAATAGGGAGGTGAGCTGTAAATTTCCGGACTTCATTTTTACAATGAATTGAGCTGTCTAAGCACCTAATAATTTGCATTATAAATTTCAGGCTGAAAAGGAGGCCTTTGAAGAAGCAGAGAAAGAACGAAGAGCTCGGGAAGAAGAGGTTGTTTGCACTTATATAGTTTCTCATAGGGATTTGAATTGGGAATGAGCTATATTATATATGAATTTTGTTGAAATCTTTGAATGGCCATTTGTACAGGAGTCTAAAAGAGCAACAGAGGAGAGTGAAAAGCGTAGAAGAGAGAGGGACCATCGACATAGAGACAGGAGACACCGAAGAAGGGTATTTTATTTGTCTTCATCATGTATGAATTTTGTTGAAATCTTTGAATGACCCCAGGTGTTTATTGTTCAAATATGTGAGATCAAGTTAGATCGAGTTTCAATCATGATAAGCCAAGTCTATGGTTTATCTTAGGTTGCAGAATGTTTCTAGACGTCTCACAACGTTTGCTGATAATTGATTCTAATATACAATGTCATGTATATATGTGTATATGCACACATGCACAAACAGCCCTATGAATAGGAAGAAAGCATTTCTAGGTTACTTAGAAAGATAAAGGCGACGGATGTAATCACGAGTGAGTGAAGTCTGATCACTGAGACTGTCATCGTTGCACCATGTTAGAAAGAGAGGCTGAAGTACAAACTGTTAGAATGTTCCCTTATTTTCCTTGTATTCCAGTTTGATCTGATATTTATTCGATTTTGTTTTGGCAGCATGATCCTCGTGATTATCTGGACGATTACCATGTAAGTCCATTTCCCTCTGGCCCTTCACAGTAGTTACTTTTGGTTGAGTTTATATATGAATAAATCGATAAATGCAGTCGTGGTAAAAGTCTCTTTCGGGTTGAAGGGCTTGGGGTCGGGGATTTCATTCCCCTATAATTTATGGGAAACATTAAGAAATATGATATCCTTTGCATTTAGGTTTTGGGCAATCATAGATTCTTCTCTCCTTTTCATTTTTTTAAGAGCTTCGAATTAGATCCGCCTATATTAGACACGACACAAAAAAGTCAAGTAGGTATATCGGTATCCGACACTGCAGAATCCAAGTAACATATTCGAAAGCATCCCGACCAAATTTCTAACCACAGGTTCTTTTCCTATCTGTAGGATGAACTATGATGTGGCCTGCTGCTACTTTGCAAGTTTTCGGGGCTCCATTTCGATAAAGAAAAAGCGAAAAGCCGAAGCAATCTGCCGCTCTAATATAGTCAGCGTTACTGTCGTATACCGTCGACCGAAACATGTCCGGTACCGGTTATCTTCATCACTGTTGTTGTAACGTTAATGTTGTAGTGATGTGAAGATTTTAACTGGAACTGCTTATTCTATGATCCGCCATGCATTTGGATGTTAATTTTTTTTTTTTAAAAAACCTGGACCATTCAACTTAAACCTTTTCGCTCATATCATTTTAAAATTATTTTAAAATTTATTTATATAAAACTAATTTTAAATATATGTATTTTTATATTTTTCTTGTACGAAGACTTAATTAATACCTGAAAGTCCACATTTCTTCGGTCTTTTGACAATCTCTCTCTTCCCCAACACAATAATGATGGGATTGTGCCAACAAAATTTAGAAAAGTTAGGCAGCGGTTCGGTCGTCTAATCTAAAACGGATTGTTTTCTTCCATGTGAGATGAACCGGTCCCAACAAAAAAAAAACCCGCATCCATGTGATTCAAATGCACAGTTTTCAAACGACGGCCAGGATTTACTTAAGGTTGTGGGACTGTTATGTATTTATTTAACAGCTTACCTTTACGGGTTTGCCATATTTGAAAGAGTGGTAGGTAAAGCTAACGATGTCTCATAAAAAGGTGACACCAATTATGTCACCAATATGGGTCAACTTCACACTTCAAGATCATATTTTAAATTTTGGGTAAATTATATGTTTAGTACTTAAGCTATTGATTTTGTTCCATTTTAGTATTTAAACTTTTAATTTTTTTAAAATATTTAAAGTTTAGTTTCGTTTTATTTTAGTATCCGCTATTAAAAACTTTAGTTTCTGTTTCATTTTAACATCCCGTTCAAAATATAATGTTGAATTTTGAAAACAATTGGAAGTTTAGGTGCTAAAACGAACCAAAATTGATAGTTTAGGTATTGAACGCATTAAGTTTTTGACGGAGGGATACTGAAAGAAATGAAAACTAAACGTTATGTATGATTTTAAAAAAGATTAAAAGTTTATGTGCTATATGCATAGTTTACTCTAAATTTCTCCTATGTATATTTTGTTGATAACTTATTTTCATCATCCTAAAATGTTATAAATTATCTCTCCTCTAAAATTTTATAAATTTATTATCTTTAATATAAAATTCATGCGTTCGTCTCTATGTTTGATGATAGTTGATGTATATTTAAATGAATTCATCGTTTTTACGAACCAAATGAAAACAATAATTAAAAAATAATTAATATTTCTCGAGGTTCGAGTTAGAACACTATATATATTAAAAATATAAACTTTTAATGTCAAATGGTTTAATCAATTTACTTATTATTAAATGTTAATATTTTTAAATTAATATTCTATTTCGTAAATTTCCCTATAATTCCACGAAGTTTTTAGCTTTAATTAATTCTCACCGACAAGTAACTTTATAATAACTATAATAGTTCAAATCAAATTGAAAGAAGGGTAAACCACCTGTATAGTCACTAAGTTATATGAAAGGTTATTTTAGACTACTAACTTGTGAATTTTTCAATCAAGTCATCAAATTATTAAAATGGTTCAATCAAGTCACCTATTATTATCTGTTAATAAAAATATTGACGTGACAGTTAAGTAAATTTATATAATTATGCAATTGGTCCTCATTATATTCTACTAATTTGTCAATCATGTCAATAAGTTATTAAAATAATTTTAAACAAGTCACGTTAACTTTTCATGACCAGTGGCTAACAATTGACATGATGATTAAGAAAAATTTGTATAGTTATATATTTTATCAACTTGATTAACTACCACATTAACATTTTCTATCGACAATTAATTATCAGTAGCTTGTTTTAAATCATTTTAATAATTAAACACTTGATTAATAAAATTCATAGTACAATGATTAAAATAGAACATATCTTACATGCTAAACATAATTTAGTGACTACATAAATAATTTACCCTTAAAATAACATATACTAAACATGCAAGCAAACAAAAGTGTTCCTAGCCTAGGCCTGTAAATGAATTGAACGTTCAGCGAACCGTTCATGAATTGTACGGCAGGAAGTTCGTTTATTTATTAAATGAACGAACATGAACAAGATTTTGCATTCGTTTAATTAAATAAACGAACACGAACAAAGGGTTTGTTCGTTCATTTACGTTCGTGAACGATCGATTATATGCTCGTTTATGTTCGTTCGTTTATGTTCATTTATGTTCGTTCATTTATGTTCAAACAGATGGCAAGTTGAATATGTTACGAAGATTATTGAAGTTGATTGGATTTCAATAAGATTGTTTTGTTGAACAAATTCACTTTAAGACTTTATTATGTTCATATAGCTTATTTATGATTTATGTATGTTTTTTGTCGTATTCGAACAAATTAACTCTAAAGTTGCAGGTTATATTAATGAATTTTAAGTTGTTATTATTGTTGTTTACTTTTTTTACATTCATTTGTTGTGTTTGAATAAGTTTGTTTTTTGTGTTTGTGTTGTTTGTTTATATTCGTTTATTGTGTTCGTTTATGTTCATTTATTATGTTCGTTTATGTTCATTTACGTTCGTTAATCATTTAAATGAACGAACATGAACAAACTATATTCCTTAATGAACGAACATGAACAAAAAAAAATTGTTCATTTATGTTCGTGTTCGTTTATTTATTAAATGAACGAACATGAGCATACCTCTGTTCGTGTGCGTTCGGTTCGTTTACAGGCCTAAACGTTTCATTGTATGAAGTATGAACAAGAAAAAAACGTTTGTGTTAGTATTTAGTAGATTAATTAATTAATTTAAACCAAATACTATAAAAATTTTAAAATAATCTTTTATTTCAATTTTATTCGTAATATTAAATAAATATTTTTTATTAATGTCGAGTAAATACAAGACATTAAATGTTTAAAAATAACATTTAATTATTTAACATTAAATATTCATATTATTATCATTGTTGATGTTCGAATCTGATACATCAAAGAATAACGATAAAATCTTTACCACCAAAATCATTTTATAACTATAAATCAATTGATTTAAAAGATTTTTATTTCAATAAAATAGTCCCCAATTCATAAAATATCTCACTAATATCACATATTTCAAAATTTTATCAAACAAATGCAAAATCCATTTATTTAGTTAATTTTCCACCACCAATCTTTCATTCAATATTAAGATTATTATTATTTTCTCTAAAAAATGTTTTTCACACACCAAAACACACACATTATTGACAAGCTGACAGCCCACAATATTCATTGTCTCTCTCTCTCTCTATGTATATATATATTTTAAAAGAGAAAACTTTCTATAAAGGAGAAATTTTCATTTTAGAGAGAAATATGCAAATGCTCTCTAAAGCTTCGTCTTCCATGGCCTCCGTTACTTGTTCCAAGGTTTGCTTCTTTATTCATCATCATTTTTATTGATTTTTTCTTCCTTTCCCCTCCTTCTGTTTAATACTACTTGAATTTGTGTTATTTTCTGGAAAAGAAATGAAGAAATAACTGCAAAGATCTGTTTTTTTTCTTGAACCTTATCTGGGGAAAATGAAAACAGTCTTGTTGTAGCTGATTGAGGAAATGGGCTTGGGGAAAATGAAAACAATCTTGTTGTAGCTAATTGAGGAAATGGGGTGTTTTCCATTTGATTTTTTGTGTTCTTTTTTTCACTTTGTTTCTGTATATTTCCCTTTTCTTATGGCTTAGAGTTAGTCTAGTTTAGCTTGATGGGGAATCTGGGTTTTGGATTTCTTTGATCTATATTTTGCATTTTTATGCCAATCTTAACCACTTTTCCAAATTGTGTCATATGATTTTCAGTAGTTTTGCCTTACAAGAACATTTGAAGCTTTTGTCACCGCCTGTTGGTATGGATCATTTTTGTGCAAATGGGGTGATTTATAGTACAGAATTTTTGGTTGCTCGCCAACTGTCTTCGTCTTTTAAGAGCAGTCTTAAGGTGGGAGAGCTTAGTTCCTCACAAGGAAGTCCCATACTTTCCAATTTGGGGTCCAAGTACCTTCACCATTCCTTAGTTGCCTGTTGTCTTTGCGGTACACTATCTAATCTGAGATGAATGTTATAGAATATCGATTTGGCTATCCATGCTGCACGATTGCAACTAAGAACAATGGTAGGAAGCTCTTATGCCGAGTGATATGGATCTTTGGAGAACCATACCTCAAAAGATAACTATTAGGGTGATAAAGCTCGAGCCCATATATAAAGAAATTCCCTACTTCTCAATGTGAGATTCGAGCCACATACATGCAATTAGGCGCGTAATAAATTTGCATCATATTAATTGTTTCATACACATCATAAGGATAAAGCCTCAACTTCGACATGAACTTGTTGTTTTCTCTCCGTGCATTTCCTTGTATTGTATGTATGTAGACTGACATATGCGAATTGGCGGTTTACAATCATTATTGTAATTCAAAATCCTTTCTTTTGGGTGATTTTGTAGTTGACTATTATTTCAGGAACTTTATTTTGAATATATGTTGGCTTATGGTTATATTTGGAATCCTATTCTCAAATTTTATAGGTAAGGAGTGGCTTTGTGTGTGGCCAGGGTTGAGGCAGCTTTGCATAAGAAAAGGTCTCGAGTATGGCTTGTGGTTATTATCAACACCCCTCAAAACCTTGCGTGGAGCAAGTCGCTCTCTCAGGGTTGCTGAGTTTTGCAGTGTTTCCAACATGTCTTCATCATTACAAATTGAATTGGTGAGGATGCCTCTTTTGATATTCAGATTCTAAATTTTGTTATAATAATTCTTTACTTGTTTCTTTTTCTTGATTGTTTATTTGGCCTTCTCTCTCTCAACTCATAATTTCCGTTTGATATTGTTTTGACCTTGCAATAATGTTTTTAGGTTTGTTTTTGAAGGTTATAGTAACTGAATTTCATGTACGATATCAACATATTATAAATGAAATGTCACTAACCTTTTTGTTTTTCAGGTACCGTGTCTTCAAGACAATTATGCTTATCTTTTACATGATGTGGACACTGGCACGGTTGGTGTCGTTGATCCATCAGAAGCTGTGCCAATAACCGATGCTTTAAGTCGGAGAAATTGGAATTTGACTTATATATTGAATACCCATCACCATCAAGATCACACTGGTGGGAATGCAGAGCTGAAAGCAAGATACGGAGCAAAGGTATATAAATTGTTCTCTCTTGGTTCAGTTCCATAGCCCACTTGCAGTGCAAATAACGTTGTCCGTGAGCAAAGGTATACAATGTATGAGCTGGGCTTAGGCAATGAAAAATGGACTGTAGCCCAGCCTGGCTCATGGACAACATTATTTGCATTGCATTGAAAGTTGTTTTTTTCAGATAGTTTTTGGACCATGACATATATGAGTTTTCAACTGTTCCATAATGCATTTGAATCACGGATTTTTTAAAGATAATGAACGGTATAATCATAATAATAACAAACAGTTGTTGTTCATGTAGGTTATTGGTTCGGCAATAGACAAGGACAGAATTCCTGGAATTGATATTGTTCTAAATGATGGGGACAAATGGATGTTTGCAGGTCATGAAGTGCAGGTCATCGAAACTCCTGGTCATACCCGAGGTTAGATTCATTAGTCGATTTTTTTTTAAAGATTTGCTGTTATAATGTTTGAATGTGTAGCAGTCATATTGTTGTCCACATTTTTTGGTAGCCTCTACCTTCTCATTCCTCTTTATTTCACTTTTAGCTATGGGAATTTGGGTTTGAGTGTTGAATACGTGTGTGTCCAAGACTATGCTATGTTTCAATTTTTTAAAGTCTTTCATGTATTCGGAGGTTATATACCCGGACTCGTGTACAAAACATTGGATACAAGTGTCGGCCATGGTTACTTTAAGTAAAACGATGAGTCGGAGGAACATAGTTTATTATTATCAGTATTGAAAATTGAAACATGTCAAGCAGGACATATTAGCTTCTATTTTCCGAGTTCTGCAGCAATATTTACCGGAGATACTTTGTTCAGCTTATCATGTGGCAAGCTTTTTGAAGGAACCCCGGAGCAGGTAACCTACATCTATAATTGACGATATATTAATTTACAGTGTACATAACCTAAGAGTTATTTGGACTTAGGTATGGGGGTCGGATATTGGCTTGTTAAATACTTTTCCAAGTATTCCATGTATTGTAAGGTCATATTTCCATTCATGTGCAGTGCTGGACACAAGCGTCGGACGTAGATATTTGAAGAAAAAATGAAAAGTCGTAAAATGGGAATTAAATGCGATATAAGCCTGGATTTTTGATAGTATACATCATGATCTTTCATGATCCAGCAAATCATCTTTGCTGTTCTCGATACATATATTAATGGCTGAATTCTACTCTGCAGATGCTTTCTTCCCTTCAGAGGATCACGTCTCTGCCTGATGATACAAACATATATTGCGGTCACGAGTATACATTGGTTAGTCGATTTATCTTTTTGGTTAAAACTCATTAAATTTTCCCGGCTCGGAATACCTAAAGGAACTAGCCATATATGTACCTGTTTTGGCAGAGTAGTTCAAAATTTGCATTATCAATTGACCCCAAGAACAATGCGCTTAAGTCGTATGCAGCACATGTAGCTCACCTTCGCAACAAGGGGTTGCCTACGGTAATTTCCGCACTCCATCTTTTTCTCCGACCTTTCAAGGATTAATGGTAATGCTGGTGATTTTTAATTTTATGTGTGTGTGTGTTTTATGATTCATCTAAAGGATTAGATCATGAAATTTGTCGGAAAAACGACAATGGTTTATTTCACCGAGCTAAGGGTGTTCGTCGTTCCTATTTTAGAACACAGATGCTTTTACATACATGTGATAAGGACTTAGACTGCTATTTCCGTCCAGCATTCGATCTTCTTACATTACTTATTCGATAACATGAGCCTTTCTCCATTTATCGAACCATATATCGGTTCAGCTCTAACCTTGTTACATCAGTTGTTTTAGATATTCACCATTGGCATCATTTTTCTTTATCGAGTTCGAGTCGAATGAGCTCCACATTTGCCAAATAATGTTTTATTGACTATCAATATGCCGTTTCAGTTTCCAACTACATTAAAAACAGAGAAGGCGTGTAATCCGTTCCTTCGGACATCGAGTGCGGAAATCAGGCAAGCACTAAATATTCCGGTCGACGCGAATGAGGCCGAAGCCTTGGGTGTCATCCGCCGAGCAAAGGATAATTTCTAGGGTTTGTTAAAGACTACATTGGCGTATGTGTATAGATGTTGTTAGCCCTTCCAAATGTGAAATAAAAAAAAAACACAATATTTACCAATTCCAATATGCTTTGTATATTTTTTCCCCAAAGTTTGGGATTTGAATTTTTAAATCTGAAAGTTGGAGGATTAAATTTCTAAAAATAAAAGTAGAGGGATTAAATTCTGTGTACAAGCATTAAGTCTAATGATACATTTAGGTGGTGTTTGTTTTTACTGTGTAAGGTCTGCAAAGCTCTTATGCCTGTGTCGCGCAGACATTGAGCTTCGCAGACCGTTTGTTTTTTAGAAGACAGAAGCTCTTCTAACGTCTGCGCGTGGTCTGCGCGGCGCAGACGTGGTCTTAGGTCTGCAGACGTCTTTTAACTTCTTCAAAGAGGTTTTATATTTAATTTTATATTATATTATATTTGATTTTAATTTTAATATTAATTTTTTAAATAAATAAATTAATATTATATTATAGATATTAATTTTAATATTATTTTTTAAATAAATTAAATATTATTTTTTTAATATTATAATATAGATATTTAATTTTATATCATATAAATTATTTTATATATTATTAAAATTTTATATTTATTTTAATTATTTTGATTTAAATTTAAATATAATATTTTTTGGATTTGTTATTTTTAAATTATATTTAAACTTTTTATACAAAATGTAAGTATTCAAACCACATTACTTAATAAAAAATGATTTCATTATTTGATAATTAAGATTTTAAAATATAAAAAATTATAAATTATGTTTTTAAAATTTTAAAATATAATCACAATTAAATAAAAAATAATCATAAAATAATTTGATAAATTAAAAAATATTTTCTAAAAATATCATATAATTATAAAAATAAATTATGAATATATATTTTAAAAAATTAAAAGTATTACATAATTGCATATTTAAAAAAATCATATAATTTAATGATCATTTATAAATTTTATTCTATAAAACTTATAAAACTAATAATACATGTAATTATGTGAGACTTATAATAGAATTAATAAGGTGGTGTTTGTTTTTCTAAAAAATTTATTATTGTAGTTGTATGAATTATTTAAATTTCAGTATTGTAAAACTAAAATTATTTAAATCTCAGTATTGCATAGGGATGGCAAAAAAACCCGAACCCGACGGGGAAAATCGAAAACCGAATTAAACGGGTCGGGTTCGGGGATGATAAACTGGGACGGGGAAAACCCATTTATTTTAAACGGGGACGGGGACGGGGACGGGTTTGGTAATCCCCGCCCCGATTACCCGATTATCCGCCCCGATTACCTGCCCCGATACCCGACCCGATAAATATTAAAAATAATTATTTATATATATATATAATATTAATAAATTTAATTTAAATAAAAATATATATTTATATATTTAATTTAAATATATATATATATACCCGGCCCGATTCTCGGCCCAATACCCGGCCCAATACCCATTTAAATAACCGTTTATGCTAAACGGGGATACCCGTTTCCCCGGTTTTCCCCGATTACCCAACGGGGATCCCCGTTTAAATCCCCGCGGTTTTTTAAACGGGGACGGGTACCGGTTTTTTAAACGGGGACGGGAACGGGGGGACCAATACCCGGCCCGAACCCGGCCCGTTGTCATCCCTAGTATTGCAAAACTCTTTTAAGTTTAAAAAAATCAGTTTATTTATATTTTAGTTTATTTTAACAGTATGCAGACGTTAAAAAACAAGCAGTCTTCTTCTCGCATACTAGACTTTTGGTCTACCTCTTCTGCTGTAGATGTTTGCAGACTTGGTCCGCATACTGCAGACCTGATCCGCATACTACATACCTTTTACCTTTGCAAAAATAAATACCACCTTAGTCATCAAAAAGATTGATGAGGAGGATCATGCCATAATTAAGGTTGTAAACAAGAGTAGACAGATGATGAGTTATTTGAGACCGATTCGATTAAAATTCGATAAATACTAGATTTAAATGGATTTGACTTGAAAAACTCGTAAGTTGCTCGAAATATAATACATTATAATTTTATTTTTAAAATATAAATGATTAGTAATACTAATATTTATGTGTTGATATTTTTAAAAATATAATATAAGATTTTGATGTATTTAATGTTTAAGTTCGAGTTTGACTTTGAAGTTTCAATCGAGTGAAATATTTTGTCTGAATTTAAATCTAGTAGACCATATTAACACTAATATTTTGTTCGAGTTAGAATCGATATTGATCGATTTAAATTTATTTTTTTTTCGAATCAAACTCAAATAATACTTAAAATAAAAAATGTATAGTATAATAATTTCTTTCAGATCTCAAATTCTCTACGTGCTTTTCCCTTCCCACCATGTGATAACCTTCATTCGATTCCTTTCACTTTTATCTACACCACACACTGTAATCAATTCCCTCTTATTTACTTCCTTTTATGAAATGATTTGATTTTCCTGCCATTTACTCTCCTATTTAGTCTCAGGATCTGGTCTTAGATTTTCAAACCCATCATTTTCTCGGGAAAATCTTCTTTAAACTGCTGCTGTTGTTCTTCAGTCTTCTTCCCCGAGTTCTCAGTTTTTTTTTTTGCTTAATTCTTTTTGTAATTTGTTGTTTCCGTTTGTTTTTATACCCCTTTTTGTAGTTTGCTGATCTTTGCTGTCCTTAGGATTTTTTTTTGCTTGGGTTTTGCTTTTTCTTTTTTGCTGGAATGGAGAAGGATAAATCTCCTGGCTTACCGCCGCCGTCCGGTAGGTATTCGGGGTTTTCAGCTGTCGGAAATGCTTTGAACTCATTCGGTCAAAGTTCGGATTCGAATCGTTTCAGTCATGATATTAGCAAAATGCCTGATAATCCGCCGAAGAATTTAGGTCACCGCCGTGCCCATTCCGAAATCCTTACTCTTCCCGACGATATTAGCTTCGACAGTGATCTCGGAGTTGTTGGGGCGGCTGACGGGCCGTCTTATTCCGACGAAACGGAGGAGGATTTGTTCTCTATGTATCTTGATATGGATAAGTTGAATTCTTCTTCTGCGACGTCGACGTTTCAGGTCGGCGAGTCTTCGGCGGCCACTGGTGATCCGGCTACTGCTGCAGCAGCTGCCGGAGCGGGGACGGGGACTAATGGTGAAAACGCGAGTATTACTGTTGGGTCTTCTGAGAAACCTAGAGTTAGGCACCAGCATAGCCAGTCCATGGATGGGTCAACCAGTATTAAGCCGGAAATGCTTATGTCCGGTTCCGAAGAAGCTTCGCCTGCTGATTCGAAGAAAGCTATGTCGGCTGCTAAGCTTGCTGAGCTTGCCCTTATAGATCCCAAGCGTGCTAAGAGGTATCGTTTTCTTTATTTCTTTTTCATTCAGATTCTTATATATGCTAAATTGATTGAGTTGTAATCCATTGACAGCGTCTTTAATTACGAATTTAGTTAAAAAAATCATGTTTAGAAGGAAGGTAGGGATTAAGTAGGTAGGGTAGGGATTTTACTTCTTCTTACCATGATAATTGGTTACATGACTACACATTCCGTTTTACGAGCTTGCTGATTATATTTAGAATGAATTGTGATCTAACTCATGGCTGAAGATAGAATTATAGATATGTGTTACGAGTCAGTGAAAGAAGCGCACAGTGTTCGGCATGATGTTAATATTTCTCTGTGCTTGAATCCCAGCATTGAAAGACTTTCCCAACGAACATCACGTGGTGTTAATTTGTTTCTTAGCTTAAATCCCGTCATTAAGACTTTGCAACGTGTTTGGTTATGATGTTAACTTGTTCTTAACTTGAACCCCAGCATTAAGCCTTGTGCAACTTGCTCCACGTGGCTGGGTGTTAATGCTTAAATCCCAGCGTTAAACCTACGCAACGTTCTCGTCGTGATGTTGCTAATGCTTAAATCCTAGCGTTAAACCTACGCTACGTTCTCCTCGTGATGTTGTTAATGCTTGAATCCTGGCGTTAAACTTATGCAATGTTCTCCTGGTGATGTTGCTAATTGTTTCTTAGCGTAAATATCGGCATTAAGCCTTCAGAATGTGCTCCTCGTGATGTTAATTTTTTTCTTAGCTTAAATCTCAGCATCAAACCTTCTGAAATATGCCCCGTGTAAAGATGTTATTTTTTCTTTGCTTACAGCCCAGCATCAAGCCTTTTGCTGTCAGGTTAAGACCAGTTCCATAAAGATATGTTTACAGAGAGACTGTGTAACTAGGTTTTAATTTGAAGCTAGCTCGAAACTAGGGAAGTTGCCTAAGCTAGTGTTGGTTTTCTATCCACCTGTCCCCTTTTCTTCCCCTCGAATAAAATCTTCTTTGTATTTCATCTTTTCCCGAACAGGGATGAATATTGTTACCCTGGTATGTGTTTTCCGATTTTGATGCCATCTTTTCTTGTCTTTCTTTGTCAGGATCTGGGCAAATAGGCAATCTGCTGCTAGATCAAAGGAAAGAAAGATGCGATATATAGCTGAGCTCGAACGGAAAGTACAGACGTTGCAAACAGAAGCAACATCTCTCTCTGCCCAGCTGGCTCTATTACAGGTCGTTTCATCAGCTCAGCACCCTCTCCTTGTGTGCTTTCTAAATGTTGTGAAATATGCACACGCATATATAACAGGAATTCATGTCCTTTTGGTTTTTATTTTTATGTTTTTGTGTTCTTTTAATTTATTTAGATCTAATGATTCATCCGGCTCTTTTCTGGTAAATTACGAGCAGGGAGACACCAATGGTCTGAGTTCTGAAAACAGTGAGTTGAAACTGCGGTTGCAAACAATGGAACAACAGGTTCATTTGCAAGATGGTGAGCTCCTCCCGATTTTTTTTGTTAACTACCAATATCCTTTTTGCTTTTCTTTCCATATTATTTTGCCTGTCATCTTCCTCATCCCGATGAAAATATGGTGGTGATACAATGAACAAGGCTCTTGAATAGATTCCTCAATATGTGCTTAAATTGTTATTTCGAGCCAATTGTGATTACCTGTAGAACAAAGAGTAGGAAAAAGCATTGTTCAGAACATAAATGTATTTATTATTCCAATGTTATCGAGTGGCTCTCGATGTAGTTGTTCAACTTTTGGCTTTGCATATTGGTTACGTTTTAGCTACTTCCACTGTTTACCTAAATTAATGTACTTTTCTTTCTTTCTGTTTGATAGCATTAAATGATGCACTGAAGGACGAAATCCAGCATATGAAAGTACTGACTGGCCAATCTATGCCGAACGGTGGACAGATGATGAACTATGCATCTTTTGGAGCTAATCAACAGTATTACTCGAATAACCAGGCTATGCATACCCTTTTAACCGCACAGCAGTTCCAGCAACTTCAGATTCAATCCCAGAAACCTCCGCATCCGTTCCAGTCGCATCAACTGAATCAACATCAGCCGCATCAATTGCACCAGCACCACCAACTGGATCAGCCGCAAAATCAAACGGGAGACATCAAAGTTAGAGGTTCCATGGCATCCCCCAACCAAAAAGATGCTTCATCGGACGTCAGCTCGACAGCATCCAAGGATTGATGAGTTATATATGCCCATAGGACCAGGTATTTATGGGCATTCTCTGTTGTTAGATGTAGGACATATATTTCCTTTCCATTTGTTCACATCTCTGTCTCTTTAGGCTCTCCTATTATAACATCTATTTCTAGGTGTTATATTTATTTCTAGCTGGAGATGGACCTAAAATTTATGATAATATCATCCAGTATAGTTTATCGCTTATGAATTGTCCGATTTAGATTTGTTTTGTTGCATTTATCACTATGTTGAATATGTATTAGCTTGTCATGTGCTATGATATACAGATTCGATCTTGTGTCCGGCACTAGTACTTGTCATTTTTCTTATTGGAGAGTCGTATCTCCAAACTAATGTTTGAACATATATTGGACATTGAGTACAGTAGGAGCAACATAGATCATGATACTTCTATTCTATTGTATTGCATTTTAATAGAAATGTCTACAAAACAATCTGTGTTATCCGGATTCGGGTTTGAAAAACTGGTTACTCGTATTTAACATGGATCCCTAGAAGTTGAATCAACCCCTTTCAAGAGGATTTCCTGGTCTTCTGTCTCTACAATTTACTTGTAACTTTGTTGGTTTGGTTCATCAAAATCGGCACAAACATTCTCCGTCACCGGAACATTCTTCGCAGCCGGAATTGTCGTTATCTTCATCATTCAACTTCAGATTATAGGTTCCGGCATCTTTGTTCTGTTATCGCAAATTTCATTGTTCGAATCGTTGCTACTCGGATTTGGAATCCTAAATCGTATGGCTTCAACCGTAGGCTTAAATCCAAACCTGCAGCATCTCTGTTTTTGACCTCGCGGGAGGAGCTGTCGTCTTTGTTTTGTATTTTGCAAATGTCATCATTCGAATCGTTGCGACTCGGATTTGGAATCTCTAAACCGTACGGCTTCAAGCGTAGACTTAGATCCAAACCTGCAGCATCTCTGTTATTGATCTCACAGGTGGAGTCATCGTCTTTGTTTTGCATATCGCCAATGTCATCGTTAGATTCGTTGTGACTCGGATTTGGAATCTCCAAATTGTTTGACATAAGGCGTAGGCTTAGATCCAAACCTACACAATCTCAGTTTTTGACCTCGAAGGTGGACTCTTTGTCTGGAATCGACCTCGTCTCTTCACTGCCATCCGGTTTCCGACGTATGTCACAAAGAATCCGATAGTTGGGATCCTCTTTCTGTAAAGAGTACTCATGCATAATCAAATGGCCATTATCTTGGTTCACCGACTGCTCATCTTGGTCTTGAAAGTGAAAAGCTTATGAATCCCCAGTATCCGACCCTGTTTGTCAAAGACTTCTTCCTTGGAGCCCTGAGCAAGCCAAAAACCTGAACCGGCGATCCGATCGAATCTTGATTTATCCTTCTTCCTCAACTTGGTGACAACCCAAAACGACCGTCTCGAATGCTTATCGAAAATATTCCAAGGCTCTTTGTTTTCGCCGTAGATCTCGAGTTCGATAAGAGGCGATGGCAAAGGATATCCGTTGACGACTGCTGGTAAAAAAAGAAAAGAAAAGAAAATGTCTTGTTTGGTAAGACGGAATTGATATCCTTGGGGTACTGAAGATTTTGTCGATGACGGACGAATTTGCAATTTGTTATTTCTTTTTTGAGAAAAGAAAGTTGTAGACCAAGCAATACGAGTAAACTACACTTTTTAGTACTTAAATTATCAATCTTGGTCATTTTAGTACCTAAATTCTATTTTTTTTTCAGAATCTAATGTTTAGTTTTTATATTTCATGTTAGTATCATGCCATTAAAAACTTAACGCATTTAGTACCTAAACTTTCAATTCCCCCCCCAAAATTAACGTTAAGTCTTTAACGGGTTACTAAAATGAAACAAAAACTAAGCGTTAGTTATGGTTTTGAAAAAACTGAAAATTTAGATACTAAAATGGACTAAAATTGTAGTTCAGGAACTAAACACGTGGTTTACCCAAAAATGTAAAATTGAGAGAAATACAGTTTTCTTATTCATCAAGTTATTCAACAATTATATAAGTGTGATGAAATTGAATTTTCAACATCACAAATTTGTCCGATCACAGCCGAGGTCTAGTGACCGAGAATGTCCTGGTACCGTCGTACCCGAGAAAGCGAATCACGGAGCATCGTTAAAGGATTACTCAACGATCCAGACCTACATTGTACATATAACGGCAACATCTTCGGACACGAACCATACAACTTCAACGCCTCCAGTGAAACTGTACTCTACCATGTTTTACCATTTCCGATAAACCGATTATGAAATTGTCCGACTTAGATCCGTTACGCCGCTTTTATGACTATGTTGAATGGCTGAGCTGTTGAGGCCAGATATGCATTAGCTCATGTGCTATGTTATTCAGATTCAAGCTTGTGTCTGGTACGAGTACTTGTCATTCCTTTCGGAGTCGCTGCAATGATTAGATGTCATTTGATATATACAAAACAAAGATGGCGGTCTGAATGATGAAGAGACGGAGTCCGTTCCGGAGTGTCCTCCGAATCAAGAAGATTCGATCGATACCGTTATTTGCAAGTTAAGAAACAAAGAAGTCACATCCTAAACCAAATACAAAGAAGACTGGAACCCAAAATCCGAAGTTGAGTGATGAAGAGACATGACAAATCTGGTAGCGACAAATCTGGTTTGATTCCTCAGAATCGGCAAAAACATTTTCCGTTATCGGAACATTCCTCGCAACCGAAATTGTCATCGTCTCTTCATCATTCAACTTCAGGTTCTGGTTTTCAGTTTCTTTGTATTTGGTTTAGGATCTGAACCTGTGACTTCTATGTTTCTTAACTTGCAAATCACGCTATTGATCGAAAACTTCTTCCTTCGAGCCCCGAGCAAGCCAAAAACCAGACCCTGCTATCCGATCGAATCTTGATTTATTCTTCTTCCTCAACTCGGTGACAACCCAAAACGACTGCCTCGAATGCTTATCGAAAATATTCCAAGGCTCTTTGTTTCAGCCATTGATCTCGGGTTCGATAAGAGGAGAGGGCAAAGGATCTCCTTTGACTACTGCTGGTAAAAGAATCACGAAAATGTCTTCTTTCTTTATTTAAGAAACTAAGGTATATTGTACATATAACGGCAACATGTTCGGACACGAACTAGACAAGTTCAATGCCCCCAAGTGAAACTGTACTCTGCAATGTTCTACCATTTTCAATAAACTTAACAGAAGGCGACGAAGGATCGGTAACGGATTCGATCTCGTGAAAGTCGAAATCATATGCACCGGAACGCATCAAACTGAAAACGAAGACGAGCAATCCATTCCAGCATGGAAGCAGCCCAATAATTAGTCATACCATGGATCAAACCCCAAGCTATAGCACACCCCACAAGGATTCCAGACAAATGCCCGAGAAAGCTCGCTTGCAGAACGATGACCGAAGTGAAAATCAACGACCTGAAAGGTGCAAAACTGATTGGCAGCGAAACAAATTCGAAAAGATCCAACTTCGGCGAAGGTTGCTTAACTGACAGATCGTCATCCTGCAGAAAACAACACAAGAATAACCGACGGCAGTCACTTGCCGGAAATACTCGATCTTAAAGCGTCGAATCAAGACATGGTACGTTCCCAACACAAGCAAACCGGATAATACGACCAAAACAAGCGTGTACTGAAGATAATAAGCAACTCCAAGACCCAAATGGCCTTTCCACAACACCAAGACTCCAAAGGACACTCATATTGGAAACAAGATGAATAACACTTATATGCGAGAAAGCTGAAGTAATTATCCGCCAATGGTGGCCGTCGTCGGTGGTTTCGTAACTTAAACCGACATGCTTTTATCACTATGTTGAATGACTAAGCTGTTAAGGCCAAAGATATGTATTAACTCGTGTGCTATGTTATTCAGATTCGAGCTTGTGTCCGGTAAGAGTACTTGTTATTTTTTTGGGAGTCGCCGCAATGATTCGAACGATGACATTTGCGATATACCAAAACTTTGGACAAATGGTCTGTATTCAATGTATTAATATTTTCAGTCTGCATTTATAATGGAGACAAATACCAACTTTTTTTTCTTTTTAATTTTGTTTTACAGACGATTATATCGATTTTGATGTTGGTTGTCGTTCGTAAGTTATCTTTTTTTATTTTTTTGTTTTTAATAAGAATAATTATGTCTTTGTGACATGTTTCTTTACCTTTATGACACGTTTATCTCTACATTTATGATATGTTTTCTATGCCTTTCGATAGCTTATTGTTTTTCGTCGTTGTTTTCGTTTATTTTTTTCAGAGTTCAATTTGATATCGTCACGACTGATCAAGATGACGCTTATTTATTATCATGATGATCTTCTCTGCTTTGGACCCTCGGATTTATTTAGATATGCGTTTTGTGTTCGTGGACAGTTTTTTCACGTCACTTACCTCTGATTTACGATTTGTCGGTGGGCTTCAGTAGCTTATCCCTTTTAAATTAATGTAATTCATATATAATAATATTTTTTTTGAATTTATTATAGTTTAAATTGATATGATTCATATATAAGTGTAAATATAATTTAAATGTTATATTTTAAATTTACAAAATAGTGTTTATAATAGATATTTTAGCTTTTTAAATTTGTTTTTAACAGTAATTTCAAACAATTAAATTTTAAACTGCGTCAATTTAAATTCGTGCCACCTAGATAAAACTGGCCACCTAAATAGTTTAAATAATTCATAGATGAATCATATCCTAATCAATTCTACGGTCCAAAGCAGGAAAGATAATCATGATAATAAATAAACGTCATCTTGATCAATCGAGGCAATGTCAAATCCAACATTGAGAAAAAAATAAATGAATGAAAACAACGACAAAAAACCATAAGCTACCAAAAGACAGAGAAAATCGTGACATAAAGGCAAAGAAACATGTCACAAAGACATAATTATTCTTATTAAAAAACTAAAAAAAAATAAAGAAAAAAAAAATAACCTATGGGCGGCAACTAGCATCAAAATCGGCGCCGCCGTTGATTAAACAAAATTAAAGAAGAAAAAATTGATATTTGCCTGAATACCACCGATGCCAGACATACTTTGTTTTCTTTACAACTTGTGCCAATTTTATTTATCAATCTAACTTTTTCTTCTTTAATTTTGTTTAACCAACGGCGACACTGATTTTTTATATTGGTTGCTGCCCGCCGGTTATCTTCTTTCTTTGTTTTTTTTAGTTTTTTAATAAGAATAATTATGTCTTTGTGATATATTCTCTGCCTTTATGACACGTTTATCTCCACATTTGTGATACGTTTTTCTCTGCCTTTTGGTAGCTTATGGTTTTTTACCGTTGTTTTCGTTTATTTTTTTCTCATGGTTAAATTTGATATTGCCACGACTAATCAAGATGTCACTTATTTATTATCATTCAGATCTTCCCTGCTTTGAACCTTGGGATTAATTTGGATACACATTTTGTGTTCGTAGACCGTTTTCTCATGTCACTCGACTTTGATTTACGAATTGTCGGTAATCTTTCAATAACTTCATTCCCTATTGTAGTTCATTTATTGATGCAGTTAGATTTGTTCGTTTCTTTATTTTGTTCAAGCTTTTTGATTAGTTTTTTAACCTTTTCATTCTTTAGTTCTTATGTGATCTAGGTGACTTGTTTTTGTCTCTATGGTAATAAGAAAATGCCATAATTATATTTTAGATTTACGGTTATACTTGTAAATATTCATTGTAATTTTAAATATTTTTTATTTTTAATAAAACTAACGAATTTCTATAAAAATAAATAAATTAATTGATACAAATTTCATATTAAATTTATTAAATAAACGGTTTTGAATAAAGATGTGCTCGAACAAATTAATTTATTAACTAATTTATTTGAAGTTGATATTTCTTCTATAAAACATACTTAAAAATATTATTTTTTTACATCAAGAAAATAAGAAATATATTTATTTACTTATTGTATGATTCATTAATATCTTCTTGTAAGGTATGGCTCATAAATATACCGGTAAAGAGGACGTAAGCACATTGCCGAACCTCGTTAAAATTCTTGTGTTCTTTCGTTTACTTTGCCCGATTTATCAACAGTTCTTAAATAGAAAAGGACAAGCAAAATACACACAATTTTAAATAAACAAACACAAACATAAATTTATAATTCTTAATCAACAAGATCAAACACAAACATAAATTTATAATTTTTAATATGATAAAGCAATGTCAAAAACAATGCCATCCCTTTATTTATTTATTTATCGATAATTCATATAGCTTAAGTTGTAAGATCCGCCATGCTATGGGGACAACCTTTTTTTCAGCAGTCCTAAGTAATTTGTTCATCTAATTAATCAATATAAATAGGTTTCAATGTTCTCAAAAGCAAATCAAACCAAAATCTCCACACACAAGCACGCACATATATATATAGCAAGAAGAGTTAATACCTGCTCTCTGGGGCACATTTGGTCGTCAATGGCTAGGCTTAACATCAAAGCATCAGTGCTATTTAACTTCCTTCTGTTCCTGTCTTTTATTCTGATAATGACCATGGCTGAGAGCAAGCTCGTGAACAGTAAGTAATCATAAAATACAAGAATCTTCTAAATGATAGATTTCATGTTAAATCTTCAGCCTTTGTGTGTGTATGAAAGGGTTGCAAATACCAAGACCCGAATCTCGGGTTTACTAATTGTGATTGTATGAACCAACTAGGCTAAATCCGGGTTCGGCTTTTTGCATCTTTTGTTACCGGTTATGATTAACTCGTGGTGATGTTTTTGTGCAGATGGGATGGGAAGAGTGAAACTTCCGGAAGGGAAACAACCAAGGCTAGGTTGTGTAGGCATCTGGTGCCCAAAGAAGAGACACTAATAAGCTTTGAATTCATCAGAGTACTTTGGATTTCATGTACTTCTGGCACAAGAATAAACTGAATATATATATATATATATATAAGCAATGTTGAAGAATAAACTGTCGGATAAAACAATGTTTACTGGCACTAGATTATATTTCATGTACTTCTGGGCATGTTCTATTAATATTTTGTCATTCTATCAACATCAAATCGCATACAAGGGTAACAACTAGATTACCCTTGTTCCCCATGGTATAAGAGTCAAAATTTTAAAAGAGAATCGAAGAATTGACTTACGACTAATTATACGTACTCTTGTAATTTTTCTATAATATTGCGGTCAACTATACTTGCATAAAGTTGAATGGTAATAACTCGGTTTCCGAATTATGAGAATCATAGTTTGTGATACTGAACCTCTAACACGCTTCCATAGAGGAAAGCTTCCTTTTGAGGATCTCATTCTCCTTTCTTAGTTTCATCATCTTTAGCTTAAGTGTTTCAACTTGCCGACTTGAAGCTGAATCTTGTTGTTGTTCACCAAGCTTCGTTCTGATGATCAATACTGCACCAAACTCATTATAGTTGTATCAATGTCATTTCATGCAAGGAGATCAGAAATTCTTAGAAATGCAAGAACATCTTAATTTCTTATGCAATGAAGCTGAGTTCAGGTACCTCAAACTTCACTAGGTTTTTGTGGAAAACCCCATCATAGTGTTAAGAAAGAGTACTATTTACCAATCAGACGCTGTTTTTGGTTCAGATTTTACTTAAATGAACTAAAGGAATCTGATTTAAAATTGCAAATAGTTCTGTATGTCCAAACAATTGTTACGAATGCTATATGAACAGTTTGAATGTTGAAAAGCAAACACAAACTCACATTCCTTTTCAGCCTCTTGTAGTTTTTTATTCAACTCATTTTTCTCTTCTTGTTCAACCATCAGACAATCTTTTAAGTCCCAAATCTCGTGAAGATCTGTCAATGTTTAATTAGCATCTGTATGATTAAGCAACAAAATCTGGTTGAAGAAAATTGGACCAGTTTTGAACTTAGGGTCTCACATTTTGATTCCTCGTCAGACTGTAGTTGATCCAGCTTCTTAGATAGCACTTCTGCATGGGATTTATGCGCTGCTAAAACTTCACGCAGCTGAATTATGGTTGCTTCATTTGTTGCTTTTTCAAGTAGAAGACCTCTAATAGAAGGCAATTTATATTTACAGCCACAAAAACAGAGTACATGGGAAGCAACTTACTGGACACTGACCTGACTTTAGCCTCTAAGTCAGCAACTTCCTTTACATGTTCTTTCTTCAGCAATTCCATAGCTTTCCTATGTTCCTGCTCAAAGATTCCAACTTCTAACCGTTATGAAACTTGTTTAAAAAGAATGATTTAACCTCTGTATTTTATTGGGACACATATATCGCTTAAAAAGAACTCGCACAGTTGGTAAAACTAAAATTGCTGATTGAATAGGACCAGTCAAGAGTTTGCATCGAAGATGCTATTGCTAACCTCTTCTTTACTCAGATATTCATCCTTTCTTCTCTGGAGTTCGTCTTTCAATCTCTGACATTCAGCATGATTTTCAATCTGGTTTCACAAAATTAAAGCGGTTATGTTCAGTTACCAACAAAAACTGAAATCCTATTGTTGGTTTGACTTCTTACTACTAAACTTGGGTACATAAAAGAATGGTGCACCTGCTCAGCAAAATTGTTCAAGGATTCTGTGTACAGTTTTGTAAGTCGCGCGTTATCTACATTAATGGCGGAAAAGTTCAATCCAAGTTTTGGCATGCAAAATTCCACTGAAATTCTAGAAAAAAAATTGATCTGTACAAAGCATTCTTGCAAAATATCATCTTCACGCTAAGAACATCCAAGTTGAATACAAAATTAGAAGGGAAGAAACTTGGGTCCTTCGTTTCAACGTAATGTAAAAACCAGTAATCACTACATGCAAACTCACCAAGAAAAGTCCAAGGAAGGGCCGATATCGAAATTCCAACAGATTTATTAATAGCAACTGGAGTTGCAGCAAAGATTGATTCGTTCGCCTAACATGGAAATATCATGTGCTAAACTAGATCTCTCAACCTAAATTACACTTATTGGAGTAGATTTGCACGCATAGGATTTGTACACGTTTCTTCCTCCAAATTTACACCTAATTCCCTCCTTAATCCTATACATGACAAGAATATCAGAGGAAAATTTCATTTAATTTACACTTTCCCCCAATCTCTTTCTTTCCCTCTATTTCTCATCTTCACCATTTCTCCTTTTCCTTCCTATCAAACAATAGTGTAACTAAAAAGCAATAGAAATACTAGGGACGGCTAGCAGATAAGAAAAAGCTTAATCAGGTCATGATCCATGAATAGATCAAAAGGATTTAAGGAAACAACCTTGTTGTAGAGAGTCACAAGTGATTTCAAGAGCCTCTCCTCTCTTTATTTCTGCATTCCAATTCGATTTCAGTAACTGAATCTCTTCGATTCCCCTCTTGAAATCCTGAATGATCAAAAAAAAGCACGTGAATTCCTCTACTTGTGAATTCAAAAACGTTTCATCACGTATAACTCCATTTTCAACCTTAAATCAGGATCCAAACACAAAAGGAAAACCTCGATAAGCTAAGATAAAAGAAATTGAAAAACTAAAAACCGGAGAAGCAGAATGGTTTACCTCGTAAATCTGATCGAAACCGGAAAGAATCGAATCCATGTAAAGATCGCTAGTTGCCGCCATCCCCACGATGAAGCTGCAATAAGAGCAAAAAGATTTAAAATTCCCGCGCTTCGTCAATTAATGGCTTTATCAAATGCAAAGAATGCCACGTGTAATCTTGCAGTTGCTCATGTAATTATGTTCAAACTCAAAAAGATTAACCGTTGTTGAATTTTTTAGTGGGTTGGGTTGATGAATTATATTTTATAATTTAAATTTTATTTGAATATTTTTTGTTGAATTTACGAAACTAATCGAGTTGTATGAATTTTTGTTTAAATTTAAGAGTAAACTATGCATTTAGTACCTAAATTATCTGTTTTATCCGTTTTAGTATCTAAAGTTATAATTTTTTTCAAAATCATACATAAAGTTTAATTTTTTGTTTAATTTTAGTACCTACATTAAAAACTTAGCATGTTTAATACCTAAACTATCAATTTTCATCCGTTTTAGTACCACAACTTTCAATTTTTTCAAAACTTAATGTTAAATTTTGAATAAGATACTAAAATAAAACAAAAACTAAAGTTTTTAACAAGTAATGATAACATGTACTGAAATGAAACAAAAATTAAATTTTATGTATGATTTTAAAAAATTAAAAATTAAAATACTAAAACTGATAGTGTAAATACTAAATATATAATTTACTCTAAACTTAATTATAAATATTTATAACCATTACATATGAGAATAAGGGTCAACTAACTTAAAAAGCAACCCGTTAATTACTAAAAAAAAGTAACTAATCGACCTGAATTTCGAGTCAAGCCTATTTAACCTAGAAGTAAGAAAACCAGAAAACTAGTTTAATCTGCAAAAGAAGTGTTAAGAATCCTTCCAAACCAAACGTAGAAGCTTTTAATGTGTACATTAAAATATGGTCATTCATCAACCGTGGTCTAAAGATAAAACTACATGAAAAGATGGTGTCATTGATTCTTTGTTTCGCTGACCGGAAAATTCTCTTCAGGGTGTTTCTGCCACAAGAAATTCGCAGCTTCGATCCACCGGGGATGGACCAAAAACTTGTTCTCTTTCACCGCCCAACGGGACTTCTCCGTTCCAGCATCCGTTGAAACGACATGTGTCACTGAAGAATCGGTTTCGGTCGAGCATGTAGCTCCCAGCTGCTCCGCCATCTTCCACAGAAGATGATTCTCTGCCTGGAACTTCGTGGGAAAGACGCGGCTGAAAATAATTTTACAATCCTTCAGCACTTCCCTCCGAACCGTCTTCAAAACCTGCAAGAGCGGAGGAAAAACATGGAATCGAAGTCACTGACGGTCGTCTCTGGAAACGAAAGATATTCATTTGATGCCTCGAGTAGTGTCTAAAAGTGATGCATATATTGAATCTCAAGATCATGACAAGGCATACCTGCCTAACATCTCGACTAGCAAGATTGGAATCGAGTTCCTGCAAGAGGTTTAAATGAAGCTGAATAAAACTTGAAAGGTAGCCACAACTTAAAGATATTAATAACTATGAGAAATGCAACATACATTGAAGAAAATATGGTGGACTTGTCGGAGTACTTTAATAACAGAAGCAAGTGCTCCATCGGGGTCGCTTTCGTCGCTCTTCAACTGCGAAAGAGACTTGCAATTGAAGCCGAATTGATGACAACTCGAAGCAAAGAAATGATATCTCTCCATCAGTATCAGATTGTCTTTATGCTTAGTCCATGCCTATGATAAAAGAATGCAACAAATACATCAATCTTCTAACGATTCAAACGTTTTTTGGTATGTCATTGAAGTTGCTATATGCTGCTCAATCTCTTCATTTTTCTGAAAGTAACCCATGTCCCACACATATTCGGATACGGTTGTAGAAATACGACATACAAAGATAATATACAAGAAAAAAATTTAGCATACCCACCTTGTGCACATATCCGTATCTCACGCTCGTACCCAAGTTCAACTAAAAGTAGACATGGCAAAATTCCCAGTAAAACTAGTTACCAATGTCAGCTCATTAAAAGTGAACTCACGTTTTCGGTATCGTCAAGGATCACAACAGCACTGTCTTGCCCTAGTACCACATCAAGGCCCTTCTGATGCTTCTGGGTGCCATCATCTCGTGAAATAACTCGGCCACTGAAGTATTCTTTTTTGGGATCAAGCAGTTTAGCCATTTCTAATGCATAGGGTCTGTCCCCCATTGTATAAATGTACATCTCAAACATTTCACTTGCTTCTTTGAGAAAGGTTCGAACAAAAGGCCTCAGTTTGGTCATCATATGCATAAAATCCAACATGAAGAGGCTGCCTTTTGAAACATCTGCCCAAGAATCCCAGAGAGAACATAGAGAGTGACTCCATTAAAACAGCTCGATCATGTATGTACATATTTAAATTTGTTTTTTTTTTGGGGGGGGGGGGGATTTATGACTACCAACCAAGTAATGACATACAAAAATTGAAATTTTCAAGCAACACGCATCATAAGCGCACACAGATTAGCCAACATAACTTTATCAAACTGTTGAGTTCTTATAGAATATTTCTTTTTAATTTCCAGAGAATGCATATTATCCCAATCAACTAATAAATATTCATTTTCCAACCATAAAGCCTCAGGTTTCTATTCATCTTTCCATTGTCCGGTTTAAGCTCGATACTAATAGTTTAGGATGCTTAGTCCTCAGAATTACAACCTCTGCAATTAATCGAAACAGTGAATCAAATTTGATCATTTCTTTAAAAGTTAATATATATATATATAATTGAGCTTAAGATCATTCACTGTTACATTTGTATAAAATACATTATTGTCCAAGTGTAACTTATTCCAACAAATATGGCATTGTCCAGAAAAAGACTGATGCGTCCTGCAACACTTTTGCAGATTTTAATCCCAAAAATAAGGGTACACAAACTTTCCATCCTCATGTTATAACCACAATGTTGCAGTTTCTTCAGATGAGAACTTCACAAAACTTTAGAAATTTGAATGAAAAATTATGCATCAGTTAAACAGACAAAAATGTCAATCAAAACATACCAAAATATTTCACTCATAGGCCTCCTAGTTGATCAACTAATAAATATTCATTTTCCAACCATAAAGCCTCAGGTTCTATTCATCTTCCATTGTCCGGTTTAAGCTCGATACTAATAGTTAGGATGCTTAGTCCTCAGAATTACAACCTCTGCAATTAATCGAAACAGTGAATCAAATTTGATCATTTCTTTAAAAGTTAATATATATATATATAATTGAGCTTAAGATCATTCACTGTTACATTTGTATAAAATACATTATTGTCCAAGTGTAACTTATTCCAACAAATATGGCATTGTCCAGAAAAAGACTGATGCGTCCTGCAACACTTTTGCAGATTTTAATCCCAAAAATAAGGGTACACAAACTTTCCATCCTCATGTTATAACCACAATGTTGCAGTTTCTTCAGATGAGAACTTCACAAAACTTTAGAAATTTGAATGAAAAATTATGCATCAGTTAACAGACAAAAATGTCAATCAAAACATACCAAAATATTTCACTCATAGGCCTCCTAGTTGATTTAAATTTAGATTCAACAAAGCAAGCTTTGAAGGAAAACTTATTTTCACATGATATATATCACAAGAACACACCTAACATGATAAAGCTAGTGGCCTGAAAAAGAAAATTGATCATAAAAGGTAAATTACACTACCACAACATGGAATGCAGGAGGACTTAAATAGCTTAACAAAAAATACCTTGAAGAGAATCAGATTGGGCCTTTAAATATTCTTCCTCAGATGTTAGGTGATTGAGTAGAGTAGAATTTAGCAGTGTGTGATCTAAATCAAGAACCAAGTAAAGCTTCTTATGATGTAACAAATTTTTCATGTCTGTGCTGCGTAATCTAACAATTTCATCATTACCGAGCCTTAAACCCTGCAAAGAAAGTCGTTCCCACGTTTTAGTCCAGAGACAAACAATATAAACACGGCTAATTATTGTTATTTGTATTCTTATGATTTGAAATAAATGCTTGGAATTACAGAGCAAAACTTTTTTGTGACTAATCATAGTTGATCAGAAGCACATCATCACGTCTCAGCACATAAAGAATACAAATAATGAAATAGTGACAAAAAGTAGAAAAAATTCCGCAATCTGTCATTTCTATGAGTGACAGTTAAGAGAGATGATTTCACCTTATGTATATAACCAAATGTTACACCGGATTCATCATCCACCCTTTGCCCGCAACGGATACACATTTGTCCAAACGAACCAGGATGTGTACATGTATCCTTCTTCAAAGGTATCTCTGCATGTATAAAAAGTGAAATTAGCAAAGAAAGTAAAACACTAATGACTAAACAGAAATTAAACTTGCCAGCTGGATAGATACAATTTATGTATGTAAACCTTTGTCTCGTTTTTCTTTTCTAACTGTACATTCAAAGTGATATGCGACAACATGCAATTTCATCTCTAGACACGTTTTTTTTACAGCTTTACACAAAAATGTCAATCCTTGAGCAAAAGCCTTTTTCTAATAGGTGTTCTCAATGGTAGTTTCTAGGGGACAAAAGACAGTCCAAGAAAGAGCGAGCATATGTTGATGCATGAATGCATCGACAGTATAAAAACAATTTCCATGGAGAATAACAAATAAAGCCAATTAAGGTTTCAAAACTTTGAAAGCTTCAGTATGGCTCTTATCAAAAAAGAAAAAGAAAAAAAAAGCTTCAGTATGGCAAACCATCTAAAACAGACATGTCCCATTTGAGCATTTACCAATAGAAATCTTAAGAATAGGCTTGTTCCAGCCAAATTGGTCTCTTTCAGTATATCCTAAAAGCCACTATCAACTTGTGACATTTCAGAGAAGGTCTAGTCAATTGTGGTGAAGTTCAGGGAGTGGAAAGCATCCAAGTTTCAAATAAACTAGAGGGGCAGCAAACCAAATTAAGGAACATTACCTAACTTTTCTTCTATGAAACCCTGAGAGGTTGACCCTCGAAGTTCTTCTTGGGCTTCCAACTTCTCGATCTTGCACCTTTTCTTCCTGCAAGTTAAATTTCTACATGACCTTTAGTTTAAACAGTGAATTTTATAAAGAGAAAGGGATAAATTCAGTAAGTTCAATTCAAAACTCAAATGATATATCCAATAAGATGCTGCTATAGCCAATCCTCAATTTCTGCCAAGAACATAGCCAAATGGCCACATGATTCAGTACCATAGTAGCTCTAAAATCAATAGGAACAAAACTCAAAATACTTTTTACTTACTTTACTGGAATTTATCTTATCTACACATTAACTGATATTACAAAGAATTGCACAAAAACCCCAAACAAAAACTTATAGGAACCCAACCAAGGAAAAGCTTATGATGTGTGTATCCTTCGAAAGATCATGGATCTTAAAATTAACAGAGTTGCATGCAACACAAGAAAATATACAAACGCTGTTAGGATAACATAATTATTAAAACAGTAAAGCTTCCCACAGCAACCATTAAAACACAAAGTTAATAATGAGCTCAAATTTTACTATTTGCAAATTTCTTTGATAGTAACTCCAATAAAATTAAAAGTTCAGTATTCCTAGAAAAAATGTACCGATGACCATTAAGCTCTTCATCTCCATCCTCCTCATCCTCATCTTCCTTGTTCTCCTCGTTGTTTTCATCATCATCATCATTATCAGCATCAACTCCTCCTTCATCAGAGGAGGAACCTGAAGAACCGACTTCAAGCTCTGCGTCGATCAATGCAGCAAAATCATCGCTGCTGGAGGAGTGTACCGGGGAATCAGCTGCAAAACTCATCTGCAAAATTAAAGTGCCGAATGAAAGCTATATAATTCAAGAATTTGAGGGGAAAAAACAAATATGAACTGAATCAGTTACAGAACTCCTTCACGAAATTACAGAGTCAAATAAAAAAAACTATATAATACAAACATTCATAAAGGGGGAAAAATCAAATAGTTGAACTGAACCAGTTGCAAAACTCATCCGCAAAATAACAGAGCCAAGCCAAGGTCTATAATTCACATTTCAAACATTAAAGAGAAAACAGGAATCAAACACGTGAACTAAAAACAAAATCCCAAACAAGCCATAAAAAAAGATGCAGAACCAGATATCATATACCAAACACAAAAACTTCACGGTGAGGGAGAAATCTATTAGTTTAGGCATTCAAGAATTACCTCATTGAGTCTCCTTGCTTATGGGCTTCGGTTTGAGCCGTCGAGAACTTGAAGGCGGGACCGGAAGAGAGGAATCACGAATCGGGCGGACCGGAGCAGGATGGGCGGGGGCGGGCGAAGTAGAGGGGAGAGGAAGAGAAGGCGAGGATATGGCACGCGCAGAGAAGGAGCGTGAGCAATGGCGTGGCCAGTGCTGGTGTTGAGAGTTTGGGGCGGGCGAAACAGGGAAAGGAAGCTGAGCGTGAGCTTTGGATATAAATTGTGAGAAGTTGATGGGTCGGGTTTATTTGAGTGACCCGGTCCAATTTTTTAATTGAGAAAATAATAATGATAATCATTCATTAATTTATCAGGAAATTAACAAAATAAAACCTTTTTATTTTATAAAATTTTAGTAAATAATCTATAAAATAATTTTCCCGTAAAGTCACTCTAATAAAAATTAGATGGGGAAAATCCAATATTGCCCTTGTAACTCAATAAGGATGAAGGATTCTTATAAATCCGTATTTTTTAGTGAATCGGCTTCTTCGCTCTAGGTATTTCTTTAATGGAGATTTTATGAATGCCAAATTGGGCACTCATCCTTCTTATATTTGGAGAAGCATTTGGTGTTCGAGAAGTCTGTTAGGAAAAGGCCTGCACTGGAAAGAGGTTCAGGGATGTCGATCTCTGCGTGGAATGATTCCTGGTTCTCGAGGAGATCTTCTTGTCGCTTGGAGTCTCCTCATGTCATTTCGATAGAGAGAGTTTCGGACCTTATTCGATCAAGACGATATTGTGTGTGGGGTGGTGAAAGATCAGGCATATACGGTGTTCATAGCGGCTACAGACTTAATGATGTATTTCCAAGCCTTCGGGATTCAAATTGCAGTCGCGGTCGCGTTTTCGGTCGCGTTACGTTTACCGTAGTCACTGTGGGTATCGCGGATATGATTTTTTTTTAAATTCGCACAACTTATTATAAAATATAGTAATTATAATTATAATTATAAAAAATCAATTTTAATGATTTTTAGAGTATTTTGTAACACTTATAGACTTTTATTAATACATAAACACAATTTTTATCATAATTAATTATTTTTTGTATTTATTTATAAACTTTTTAAAAATATTATATTAACTCATAAAAAATAAAAAAATAGAAAATAGTGTATTTTAAAATTAATGAAATTAAAATCCAATTTCCTTAGTTATTAGGATTTAATTATTTTTAAGACTATATATTTTGTTCTTAAAATAACTGCAGGATTTTATTAGAAAAAACTAAACTAAAACAAATAAATTCCTCCAACGGTAACCCATCCCGTTACATCTTATCTAAAGCAACCCTACACTGGTCAACAAAAGAAAATAGGAAACTAAAACTTATCCAGCCATTTCACCATCTTCTTTCTTTCCCATTGAAAAACTTACAAGAAAACTTTAAAATTTTTGTTGAACCTGAAGTACTCTGAACCTCTATCTTATTCATAAAGATTCTGTAACCGGCGTCTACGCCGACATATCGAGAATTTCCTCAACTCAGAACAAATCTTCTTCTTCATCCATTTTTCTTGATGTGAGCAAGTGCGCAACTTGATTCCCCTCTCTCGGTGTAAACCTAAATTCAAAGGTATGTAATTCTTTTATGTATGAGTTGCTATTTTATTTTAAGTCTCTGTGCTGTAGTGATGTTTGGTGTTGTAACGGGTATTAACGGCAAAAACGGTCCGTTATAACCGCGATCGGCCGTTACCCGTTAAATTACGGTCGTTATCGACCGTTATGGGTGTGATTCCGTTTCACATCGTGATTTCGGTTGATATCGATAACGGGACCGCCGATACCATGATATAACGGCCGTTATAACGTTACACGGCCGTTTTTTGAATCCCGGCCTAAATCAGCGCCCTCGTCGGCTAAGCGAAGGGTCAAGCTAGGAAACTCCATGCATGCTCTTATCGATTGTTTTTTCGGTTTCTGGTATTTGGGTTAGATTTATCTTTGCTTTTAATGTTGCTTAGTTATTTCCCTCTTTAGCTTTTCGGGTTTGGGTAGCTTTCAGTTAGTGTTTTTGTTATTCTTTAAGTTGTACCCTTACTTTTTATTTTATATAAAGCCAACGACTCCAGAAAAAAAATATTATTTGAAATAAGTATATAAATAAAATACATCTTTTAGAATTATGGTAAACAAAATTTCACTCGACTCGAATGGAAAAATATTTTTTTTAATTTTGAATTATTAGAGTCAATTCGAATTATAAATTCGATTTTCGAGTTCGAGTAGAGTTTAAATTAATACTCTCCAGTAATCAAAAGTTTCTCTTTAAATACTCTCCAGTAATCAAAAGTTTCTCTTTAAAATCTGGATTTTGAGTCTAATGCGAGAAAGTAATAAACAAAGTCATTCGCTTTGGATAATCTCCCAAAAGAGAAAAATTGTCCTTTATTTATTTTCTAAATAGTGAGGGCAAAAACATAATTTCAAACACAATTTAATTCTATTAAAAATATAATTAATTATCATTATGAAATGAGTTATATTTTGAGCATTAACCAACATGTTTATAATTTTTTTGATTTATTTAAAAACAATATATTATTTATATATATATACATTTAAAAATTTGAACATGACAAAATTTTATTAAATTTTTAACGATAAACACATAAAATTATAATAAAAAAAATTAAATATCTATCTTTAACGAAAAATTCTTTCGAATTAGACACTTATTTTGTATTAATCCTAGCCTTAACAAATTACAAAGATTAAAATGCAATTGAGGAAATCTTGACTGTGACTTTGATTGGTCCATGACTCAAAGCGTACCAGGTGGATGACACGTGCCTCACAAGATTTCCCATATTTTTCGCTTATATTCGTTCTTTCTCTAGATCTTTCACCGTCCCTTCTCCTCTGAGTTTTCTGCTGCCGCCCGCAGTTCCTCGTGGGAACCCTCACCGGATTCTAGTCGGATCTCCGATCTATATCGTCGGGATCTTCATCGAACCAACAACTTTCTATTTACTCGAAAGGTTCTTTTCTTTTCCGATTCAAATGTATGATTTTATGTGGATATGCATTTTGCCTTGATCTGATAACTCTCGATAGTTTTGCATTTCGGAAAGTGATAACTAAGTTAAAAATTTATAAATCAGTGGACATTTTGTTGCTTTTGTTCAATCTGGATGTAAAGATTATATATTATGATGTGAAATGGCGGTTGTGTTGCTTGTCTTTGTTGTTGTTACTTAAGGGCGTAGGTCTAATTTGAACCAAATTAAAAGAAAGAAAAGGGATTTTAAGTAATTGAGATGATTAGGCTATGTGGTATGAAAAGAAGTTGGAATTCCATTTGGGTCTGGACAATCTTTGGACTTTGTAAAATTATCAAGTTGCAAAGAGAGGCTATTTGCAATTGAAAGCAGTTCCCGTGATTGGGCATTTTTTTAGAATGATTAATAAACATATATAGTAAAACAAGAGAAAGATACTTTAGATTTCATATGTTAAATAGTCTAAAAAATTTTAATTATACTCGTAAACAATTAATAATGTTATGAGATAAAATGATTTATTTTTTGAGAGGTTTAAATTTGCACGAATGGGGGAACTTGAGCTAAATAACCACCGTGTTGGGTTTTAAATAGAGATCCGATTGATGTATTCATCATTTTCTGCATTTCATTGAGCTTTTATTTTCCCAAATGCATTTTGGCATATAATAATAGCAGTGGTCAATGAGCATTACTAATTTTCTGAACAGATTATGCATGCATGTACACATATATGTACAAATGCGTCTATTAATGTATAGTCTTATTATTATGATTATGTCATATTGTTAAACAGAAGTATCAACTTTGGCTTCTGTTTATACCTGTGGGATATAATAACGCTTTCAATTTTTGAAGTTCACTACTTGCTATTCTTCCACCATGATGAGATATGGTTGTTAAATAAAGTCTCACTATGTTTTGTCACCTTATATTTGATTTTAGAAATGTATAATAACATGGGAGCCCAGCCTGGGGTGCCAATGCAGCCTACAAATCCTCAGCCAACTCCTTTTGGTAATCCATTTTATGGTGCTGGTTCTGGTCTTATCCGAGGTGGTCTAGGTGCGTATGGAGAGAAAATTTTGGGATCAAGTTCCGAGTACGTGCAAAGCAATGTAAGTGGCATCCTGGTGCAGTTATCATTACAATTGGTTAAATAATGTATTACTTTTACTTGCTGCATCATAGTACTGTTTTCTTGAAGTTCCCATGTCAAAACCCCTGCCCAACACAAATCATGATATGGCTGTTTTTTGTTTTTTGTGGGTTTTGTGTTTGGGGGGGGGGGGGGCTTGATCCTACAAGGACCCTCCAAATACGTTGAAACCTTGAAAAAATAAATTAAACATATCTGTATCTGCCTCACACTGACGGACCATGAGTAACATAGCCGTTTGTTGAAGTTTGTGATTGTTTTTAGGGGTGCACTTGATTTGTCTGTTAAGTTTTCAATGAACTTCTCAATCAAACCAACATATCTGCTTTTTAAATAGAAAATTGAAACCTAAGAAAATTTCTTGAACTTAAGTTTCATGGTTCAATTCAATTATCTTGGCTTTCATGTTTCAAGGGGAAAAATTATGCAAGTATTGAATCAAAACCAAATTCAGTTCAGTTAGAGGATTGGTTATTTAGGATTTTCAGTAGACACTAAACACCCATCATACCAAATATTTCTTACTATCACCCGAGCTGAAATTGATCTAAGAACTGTCAAAGACTGAAGCAAACTGACATTATGTCTTTAATAAGCATTGTTTAATTAAGTAATAAAGAGTTGAAAATGCTTGCTAAAATGGCAGAGATAGTTGAAATATATTCCTATTAGATAAAAGTGATAAAGGCCCTTCAGTTTAAAACGTTATAAAGATTAGGAAGGGATGCATATCTTAAATTTTCTGAAATTTTGAATTTTCTTCGGGCCTTGTGATTTTTCACTATTTACATCTTGAAATGAGCAGATAAGTAGATACTTTTCTGATCCTCAATACTACTTTCAAGTGAATGATCAGTACGTGAGAAATAAATTGAAGGTTGTTTTACTGCCATTCCTACACAGGGTAAGCACTTCCATCTGTGATATTTTCCTTGTTTTTATTCAATTCACCTTAAACTGTCACTTTTCCATCAGGGCCATTGGACAAGAATAACTGAGCCAGTCGGTGGCAGACTTTCCTACAAACCCCCGATTTTTGACATAAATGCACCAGATTTATACATCCCATTTATGGCATTTGGTACCTACGTTGTTCTTGCTGGATTATCACTGGGTTTTCAAGGGAAGTAAGTAATTTTTCCCTCAGTCTAATAGCTTCTTCTACTCGTACCTCCCCCCTCCAACTTTGCAGTGTACAGTTCAATGATTTTAATCTTTGTTTTGTTGCTCCAATTTTTCATTTTTCTTTAAGAATCCATGTCCAACGCCAATGTGTGACGCATACGGATATAGGTATGGAGATATGACCCTTCAGGGACCATCACCATCCATATATATATGTAAAAATTTAGAGAAAAACTGAAAATATCTGTGTAAGACACTCATATATGACACACCCGGGTCGGAGTAACATAGGTTTTAATCCATAAACCTTATTCCGAACAGTTTTTTATGCTTTGTTGCAATCTTTGATTAGAGTACTTCCAATCACTTATTAACAATACCTTGGCAACTTTGAGGGGCTTTACTTCTTTATTGTTTCCTCTTTGGCCAAATATTGTGCTAACCAGAGAGGCTTTCCTATCGTGTAGCCAATGGTTAAACCAATTTGTATGGAAGCTAACATTTTTTATTCTATAATGGAATACTCCTGTGGCATGAAGGCAAGTTAAGGATTTATGCATTCAGACACCGTTGAATGAATCTTTAGATAGCCTTAAAATTATGAAGGAAAACTCAACTGTTGTCGTTATTCTTGTACTTCAATCGTCAGTTAACATTTTTCTTAATTTTATCTTTTGTAATTGCAACCTGCAGTAGGCTTCAATGGTTATGCTGTTTATCCCTGTAGTTACTGTGTTGTGATTCATAATTTGATGAACTTGATTTCGACCGCTTTTTGTTTTTTTTTCATATATGGTGCTTGCTTGGCTAGTCTTTTTCTTTTTCTCTTTCCCTAGAATGATTTCTATTCTCTTCTTTTTCCACCAGGTTCAGCCCTGAAGCACTCAACTGGCTGTTTGCCAAGGGATTGTTCGGCTGGTTTCTGCAAGTCATGCTGCTGAAAGTAACGCTGCTCTCATTAGGCAGCGGCGAGGCACCTTTACTCGACATTCTGGCATACGCCGGGTACACATTCACGGGGATGTGTCTGGCCATCCTCGGAAGGATCGTATGGAGATACTCGTACTACTTTCTGATGCCATGGACGTGCTTATGCATGGGGGTCTTCCTGGTGAAGACGATGAAGAGAGTCCTCTTCGCCGAGGTTAGAAGTTACGATTCTAGCAAGCATCACTACCTTTTGCTGCTCATCGCCCTGGCTCAGTTCCCGCTTTTCACATGGCTCGGCAATATCAGTGTCAACTGGCTCTTCTAAAACCCTTGTCTAAATTGTGTGCTTGTACCAGCCTTTTGACTGTGATTTTAGTCCATTTTTACCATAGAGAATTCCCTCTCTCTGTTTAGATTCTTTTGTATAAAAACCAATGTCCATGTTCAGTGAGAAATCTAAAATTAGTTCTGTTTGAACTATCTGTGTTTGTAAGCTCAAAAATTAGAGTTTCTATGGAGTTTAATTGATGAAAAACCTGAAAATTTACCGTCAGTATATAAGGTTATGTTTTCGTCATTCAACTTTAAAAAATTATGTTTTCGTCACTGAATTTTGTATCATTTCAGTCGATGATGACTGTTTATAATAGCATATTGCGTAAACTATACGAATAGCCTCTTTGTTCTCAGTGTGGTTGATTTTGGTCACTGATTCAAAAATAAAGTGTTTGGTCTCTTATATTATCGATCCGTTCGGTTTTAATCCCTTGACCGTAAACTTGAGTTGGCGATTAAAAAATAAAAAGTAAATCACGTGTGTCCTTTAACATTAAGGATCAGAAGTACTTAATTTTTTAACCACTAATCAAAATCGATTTGACCGAAAACAAAGGGTTACCCTAACGTATTTACTTAAAATTTATGCATAATTTCTGTTATTTACCCCAACATATGGATTTGACATACAAGTAAAATAAAGATTTAGATCCATATTCTTTTTGTTTAAATGTAAATTAAATTAAGATTTGGTGATTTGAAAATCATATTCATAGATAGTATAGATATGCTATAATTTAATGTGGAGATAAAGGTATATACGTCTTCATCCTCAATACGGTTAACCTATAATTCTATCCCTACTCCACATTAAAATTTCTTTACATATATGGATAAGGGCATATAGGTCGGCACTATATGATTATGTTCTTTTTGCCTCGGTATATAATCATGTAACACTGTCAATGTCTTCAGGTACCATAACTGTTATTTAATGAATAGTTATTGTAAGTATTAATTCCATTTCAATTTCCAAAATTTCAAATTATTTGTGAGATATGGTTTAATTTTAGGGTAAATTACAAATTTGGTAACTGAACTTTCATATGATCCCTATTTTACTCACTGTACTTTCAAAATTTCAATTTGGTCACTCAACTTTATAGATTGGGTTTTTGGTCACTCTGCCGTTAAACCTCTCATGCCGTTATGACGTGGCTTAGAGAAATAATTTTTTAATCGTTAAAAGCCACAGATGCGATGACAGGTCAGGAAAAAAAATAAAAGGTAAATTACAAATTTGATAACTGAACTTTCATATAATTCCTATTTTACTCACTCAACTTTATAGATTGAGTTTTTTTTTTGTCACTCTACTGTTAAACTTTTCATCGCCAACGATCGTCCACCGCTGTCGTCATCACCGTTGGACGGTGATCTTCGTCACTGTTGGACGGTAACTATCACCGTCAGTATCGATGTGAGTGCCAGGCCACCGCGACCAAAACCCTGGTGGCCGATTGTCAAGACTCCCTGTTGTTCGTCGTATAGAAACTGTTTAAAGTTCATTGGGAAATCAAAGCTTCCCATCGGTTTTCGTCAATTTTCAGCCACCTTGGTCGTATATTCGTCTCATCATCGCCACTGTTGAAGTCCTCTCCTCTTTTAGACCAAAACCCAGTCGATTTGCCCTCTCATCATCACTGCCTAAGTCCGACGCTATTTTCCAGCCACCCCGGCCAAAAACTCAATCTATAAAGTTGAGTGAGCAAAATTAAAAATTTTTAAAGTACAGTGAGTAAAATAGGAATCATATGAAAATTCAGTTATCAAATTTGTCATTTACCTTTATTATTATTATTTTGTGGAAATTTGATGTGACATGTTTAATATTAAAATTATTCTACGTCAACGAGTTGTTAGTGATATAACAATGAAGTGACAAAAAAGTTCAATCCATAAAGTTGAGTGAACAAATTGAAAATTTTAAAAGTACGATGATTAAAATGGTGATTAAAATAAGAATCGTATGAAAGTTTAGTTGCAAAATTTGTAATTTACCCTTAATTTTAATAGATATAAAATTTAATTGATATATATATTCAGGAGGTTATAACGTAAGAACTAAAAGTTTTGGAGTCAAAAGGTTGGCGATAACAAATGATGATGGCCGGTAGTGACCGACGACGAGAGAATTTGAATGAATTTATGGGTTAAATTAAAATTTTCTTTAAATTAATATGTTATCTAATAAAAGAATAATCCTTCTACTATCGCATCACATCACCAAATTAATAGCCTTTAAAGTCTAAGTAATCACACTATTATAAATCAATAACGTAAGTGATTAAAGTGTTGTAAATATATAATATAAATGATCAAAATTTTATTTTTTTAAATTCAATAACAAAATTAACACTCACAAAATCAACATCCATTTACCTTGTTTTGGAGACGAGGTCCATTCATTTGTGATGCATGTGGCACCGAGGGAAATCATGTTGCCTATCATTATGGTCCATAAAGAATGCATTTCATTGCCACGTATTAGCAAAAGCAGGTGGCATGATGATCGTGTTTTTCACACATATTTCCTTCGCAAAGAAGATCTTGGATGTTTGAATTGTCTAATATGTCATGATGAGGTCAATACAGAGTACGGCAGCTACTACTGTGCAGATTGCAATGTCATGTTCCATGTGAAGTGTGCAACGGAATACAGTGCTGAGTATTATGTTGTTTCACAAGAAAATGAAGAAGAGAAGCCTCTTGACGTTAACTCCATCACTAATGTTCTGGAGAGGAACGTTGCCGGAGAAGCCACATTAATAGAACATTTCAAGCATAACCACCACTTAACATTAAGTGAGACAAGCAGGGAGTACGATGACAAATGTTCTGCTGGGTGCATGTTACCGGTCTCGGATTCGTTCTATTCTTGTTCTTGGTGTGAGTTCTTTCTTCATAAAAGTTATGCCGAATTACCAAAAACGAAGCCTATATGGATTCATTATTGCAAATTAGGTTCCCTCGTCCTATATGGATTCATTATTGGCTTTGCCTATAAATGTAATGAATATGGAAGCCGCATCTGCCTTCGATGTGCCACTCTACTCCGGATGCTCTAACATGTCCAGGACACCAACATCCCCTTCTTCTCTATATAGATGAGGAAGGGAAGTGCAATGGTTGTGGTGAGAATAGATAGTCAATATATTGTTGTAAAGATTGCACAAGCTCTCCACCACCACCCCATACGACGCAACCTATCTCTAGTACCAAGCCTATCCAACAATGTCAACCAGAGATGATCGCATGCCTAGGGACACCAATCTTTGCCAAGGAACCTTAGCATTTCTCTCTCTAATCTCATTCCATATCCATCTTGTCCGAATCACCGGGTATCTAGGTGCGAGCACAGTCCAGCAGTCTCCCTGAGAGAAAAGATCTTCCTTAAGCTCCAGATAGTTCCCACCTTAGGAATGAAACTCCACACATCATACCCTTCAATCACGTAACATCTCACCCAAGCAACCCAAAGAGAGCCCTCATTAGCCAAAAGTTTTCTTAAAAGCTGCAGCATGCAAGCACGATTCCAACACCCCCCACATCTTTTAAACCTGAACCCCCTCAGATTTGAGAGTGCAAAACTGATGGTTTAGCTATTAAACGGATTGAGTTTTTAACGGCGAGTATTAAAATAAGACAAAAATTAAACGTTATGTATGGTTTTGAAAAAATTGAAAGTGTAGGTACTAAAACGGATATATATATATATATATATATTCTAAATCTGAATAAACCGAACTTTTATTTAAAATAAATGAAACCGTAATCGAACAGTAGATTGTCTTGATCTATAGGAGAATGATGTCCTTGTACGTCAATATAGAGCACTAAGACCACCACCTTTCATCATTTGTTTGAATTCATTAAAATTAACCCTACCATCGCCATCTTCGTCCACTTGCATGATCATCCTCTTACAATCCTCGATGCTTTTCCCTTGCTTAAGCCCTAGAGAGATCAAAACCGATCCCAACTCGTCGACGGAGATGTAACCGTCTCCGTTCCGATCGAAAACCTTAAATGCTTCTTTTATATCTTCGTCTTCGTCTTTATCTCCCATGATGAATTGATACAACTCGTTGAACTCGTTGATATTGACACAATCGTCGCCATCGATGTCGAATTTTTCAATCATTTGTGTTAAGTCGCTTTCGGGAATGGAGATGCCTAAACTCTCCAACGACTCAGACAAGTCTTTCTTTGTGATCTTTCCGTCTCCGTTCTTGTCGAACAATTGAAAAACCCTTTCTAACTCCGTTAGGTCCATTCCAAAATCGATGTCGGTGTCGGTTAGGTGTCGTTGGGATGAAAATGAACTAGAGAGGTTTGTTTTCGATCGGGAAAAGATTAATCCAAGAATGAGGCATCAAGGATTTTAGTTTCTTAGAAATCTAAAAAAATTCTAAGAATGATTGTATGGTTAGAATGTGAACAAGAAAATACATGGCACTGGAAGAGAAAGATTGTTCTCAATTCGATGGCGGGGAGAAATTTTTGGAGAAAAATTAGATACAAAATTGAACGAAAAGCACTACATTATGTTTTGAAAAAGGGTAAACTACGTCAATAGTCACTAATGTTTGGGTTAATGTTCGTTTTCACCACTGATGTTTCAAAAATCACAAACGGATCATTAACGTTAACGTTTGTTACAAATTGATCACTCGACGTTAACAATCGTTACCGTGGGTGACGGAAAGTTGATCTGTACCATTAAATATTTACCTGGCCGGTTAACTGCTTACATGGCCCGTTGACCAATCACTAATCCAATGAAAATTGTTGACCTTTTTTTTATGGAAATTACTTCTTCTTCCTCTCTCATTCTTCACGACTCATTCTTCACTCTTTCTTCTCCTTCTTCACAATCCATTCTTTACTCTTCCTCTTCTCCTTCACTGCATTCATCATTTTTCTTAGTTTCAGATCCAAAACAAATAATTATTTTTGTTTAATTTATACACCAAAAACACAGAGGGTAAAAAATTCTAATGGAGATATTCTCCTTCACCGACATAACTTTATCATTTTTCGGTGTTGTCATTAGGGGTGTGTAAAATTATCCGACCCGCCGACCCGGATCTAAAAAAACCGGGTAATTCTCTAAAAAAAATTACCCGGCCGGGTACCCGGCCCGACATTTCCCGGGTCAGGCTCGGGTCACAAAATCTAGTTTTTTCGGGTACCCGGTTACCCGAGTACCCGGTTAGTTTTTATTATTTTTTATTTTTTTATATATAATTATATAAAATATAATGAATTATTTATATTATGGATTATTATATTTTGTATTTTAAACTTTTAAATTTTATGTTCGGATATTAGAGTATGTAATTTGAAGTTTAAAACATTTAAATTTGTGTATATATTTTTTTAAATTAATAATTTGAAAATAAAAAATTAAAAACCGAGTATCGGGTACCCGTAACATTCGGGTCGGGACACGGGCCGAGAAATCGTCGACCCGAAAGTTTCGGATACCCGAAAATCCGGATACCCGAAAATCCGGATACCCGAATTTGCACACCCCTAGTTGTCATTACATGTCTACCGTCTAACCAAGAAGCATTGTCGAGTTTAATGGTACACATCGTCGCCATCGCTGAGCTATGGAACCCTCTTTGCTTATAGACAACTTTCTCACTAACTGACCAAGTTTCATCGGCCGCAATTAAATGCCCCCACAAAATCCACAGCTTTTCATCAACCCATTCAAATTATTCCGCCATCTAATGATTGTTTTGGTCATAGAACTTTTAAAGTTATGAAATGATTATTAAATTTAGGGTTAAATACACGATTGATTATTTATGTCTGTGTTTTGTCCACTTTTTTCACTGATTTCAAAAAACATAATATATGATCATTTTCGTTTTTATTTAATTAAGACATGTCACTTTCGTTATTATTTGATTAAGATGTAGTCACCACTAGTTAACTGTCGTTAGCAGTTAACGGATTAGGTGATGTGGTAGTTAAATATTTTGATATAATCACACATTTAGTCCTTATTATTTACACGTTTTCTCAATTTAGTCATACTTTTAATAAACTAAAATAAATTTAACTGCCACTAACTCTGAGAATATGTGACCAAATTGAGACAATATGCAAAACAATAGGGGCCAACAATGACCATATTGAGAGAATATGTAAATAACAAAGACCAAATGTGTGATTATATTAAAATATTTAACTGCCACATAACCTAATCTGTTAACTATTAACGGAAGTTAACTCGTGATAATCATATCTTAATTAAATAAAAACGAAAGTGACCATATATTAGATTTTTTGAAACCGGCAAAGAAAAGTGAACAAAACACTAACATAAGTGATCAATCATGTAGTTAACCCTTAAATTATCAAACTGTTATAAAGCGATCAGTGAGACATTATAACAAGTATAAAAGTTTGATAAATTTAATCATTCGTTTTATAACAGTTCGATAAAATTTAATATATATATTTTTTATAATAGTTTGATAAAATTTAATGATCATTTCATAATTTTTGAAAGTTTAATAACTAAAACGATCCTTTAAATATAATTCAAGAGCCTGTTATATATTTTAACCTAAATTTTACTGTCCTTTGGGTTCACACGGGGCCAGATCTGTGATGGGCATCTTCTAAAACAGTGACCTTAGTTCGAACGAGATCAAGTTCATGGTGATGTGACCCAAAAATTCTAATAATAAAGAATAATAATATTTTCCAAAAGAAACCTTTATTATTAATATAATAATTTAATTGAAATAAATCGTTAATTAATTTAATATTTGGGGTAACTTAAAAGAGTACTCTCACTTATAAAGAGTGATGTAATTTAACATAATAAATTTAAAACAAAGAAAGAATGGAAATAATTAAATAACTATAGATCGTATTATTAAACAATCAAATTATTTAATTAAATATTAAAATAATATATTAATGTAGTTAGTTTAAGTGGTAAGTAGCTTGATATTGTTTAAACAAGTCTTAAGTTCGAGTCCTTATGTATACAGAAAATTCATGTACGAAACTCACCCATTAAAACTAAGTGTGCGATACGGGTCGATCTATATTAGTTAGGATAAAGTGCTAAAACCAGTAGAGCAATAAATATGTTAAAATAATTTGAACACTATGTTTTTTATTTTAATAAAGTTGGAACATAATATATTGTTTGTAAAAGGGAATAACATTGAGAGGTGTTTAAGCAAGGCTTAAGTATAAAATAAATGCCTAAAATATACATGTTTTCATGAATATGTGCCTAAAGTATTTTTCGGTCTATCCAGGTGTCTAACGGTACCAACGTTATCACTCAAACATTACCACTTTAGGTGTTAGGGTCGTAACAACCTTTAAATGACACTGTTATCCATTCATTTGTTAACATGTAGCCATGATGCCTAAGTATAAAATAAGTGCCCAAAATATATTGTTTTTCCCTAATAGGTGCTTAAAGTATTTTTAGCCCATCCAGGTGCCTAAGTTATAAACGTTATCACTTGAAGTGTCTGTCGTTACAAACGTTATCATTTTAGGTATTTCGATATTAACGACCGTTAAAAAATCTCGTTAAGTGACATGCGTCACAAAATTTAAATTTTGAAATATTTATTTTCTAAAAAAATAAATATATTGTTAAAAAAACGTGTGCTTCCCCTCCCCTACCCTCCCCTACGCTCCCTCCCTCCCTCGCTCCTCCCCTATCATTTCGTTATTTTAATGTTCATGTCCAAACAACTAAAATTCAAACGGCTGGCTGATCAAATGGCTAAGGGGGCCGGTTTCTACAATCGATTAAAAAACTAATTACCAAGATCAATCAAATAAATTTAAGGGATTGGGTATTTAGAATTTTAACGATTGAAATTTAGGGATTTGAGAATTTTATGTTTTAAGATGATATTAAGAGTTGTAACCGGTTAGTGGGTGGTCGACGATGTATGGGTGGTCTGTCACGGGTGAATGGGTGATAAGAGATAACCTTAAAATAAGAGATTTTAATAGTTTAGGTTTTTTTAGTATTTTAGAAAAAAAATGGAGGCTTTCACAAACAAAATATTTTTAAGTATTTTTAAATAAAAATTATCAGATTGTGACACATATTACTTAACGAGTTTTTAACTGTCATTAACACTGAGGCACCTAAAATGATAACGTTTATAATTTAGGAACTTTGATGGGCCGAAAAATAATATAGGCACTTATTCAGAAAAACGGTATAGTTTGGGCACTTATTTTACACTTAAGTCAAATTCAAATCATGGTCATGTGTCAGCAAATGAATGAATAACTATTTTCATTTAACGATAATTACAGCCCGGACACCTAAAGTGGTAATATTGATAACGGTAGGTATTGTAACATTAGACATCCAAATAAATCAAAAAATACTTTAGGTATCTATTCGTCAACATATATACTTTAGTCCCTTATTTTATACCTTAGCCTTTAAGCAATTGAGGTGGGATTTGTACATCTTTCAATATGTGGTTGAAACTATTTTGAAGTCGTGATTCGATCATCCAAACCAGCACTTTTGCACTTTAGAATTTACTTTAAAGACCAAAATTTGCAAGGAATAACTAGGGATGATAATGGGTAGGATTAAATCGGATTTTTAATCAATTTGATTTGACTCGAAAAATATATATCTTCCACTCGAATTCGATCTAACCCGAAAATAATATATCCTCCATTTGACCCAATTTAAAAAATATATATCATCCATCTGACTCCGACTTGACTCAAAATTTTAAAATATAAATATGAATCAATTCATAATAAAATAAAGATCTAATTAAAAATAATATTTTAAAAAAAATTACATTATCATGCCTAGGATCTGGTCATAATATTTTCACCCTCCACCCAAACACAACTAGGGATGGGCATAGGTCCCGAACCTGACCGGTCCTGACCCAACCCAACCAGATCAGGTCAATTTTTTTATAAAATAATTAGATTCAGTTTGGGCATTTTAAGTCTATGTTCGAGTCGGGTCGATTTTGGGTTTAGAATTAAAATACCCGACCCAACCCAAAAAATTAAAATTTTGCCTTTTATATTTAAGGGTAATTACAATAATATCCCTCTATATATTATTTTCTTTTAGATAAATCCCTATTTTTATTGGATAAAAATAACATTTTTTAATAAATATATTATTTCGAATTGAGTCGGATTCGAATTTTATCTCCAAAAATCGAGTCGCGTTCGGGTCGGATGGAGATTTATAATTTTTGGGTCGAATAAGATGGACTCAAAACCCATCCCAAATCAACCCAACCCATGCCTATCCCTAAACACAACCCTTTTTTTAATCTAACCCTATCAGATTAGATCAGGTCAGAACCTATCAATCTCAAGTTAAATTTTCATCCTAGGAATAGCTTCAAGTCCAATGTGGCTCAAGACAGCTTAAGCTTCACGTTCTATATACTCTAAACTCGGTTAATTATTATTCTCAGAATATATTTTTTAATTACTCGCGGGCACTTACCCTAAGAACAAGGGCATCATATTGATATTGTTTCCTTGTTTTAATGGCAGAAACAAAACCATCCAATACTTTAATGGAAGACCATTCTGGTTCCATTCATCTTTCTCATATGCCCTCCTTCCCCTTCCTTCTCCATCACCATTTCTATCGCTCACTCGAAATGGAACGCCCCTTCCTCCATCTTCGAATTATAAACTGACGTCGTCGACAACCCAGTGATCTCCATTAACACCTTCGAATTTTGATCCATGGTTTAGGCTAAAGGGGCCCGGTTGGCCAAACAGGAAACTTGCTGAATTTTGTCAGCAAATCCAATACAGATGGCTCAATCTCTTCAACATTGGTGCACAACCACCCGATAGACTTCAGAGAACCAGAAATCTGTGGCTGCAACAACCCATTGAGTTGAGAAACATGAAATCTGCATCCGTAGCGGAACATTATAGGAACATTTTCCGATGAGGAATATTAAACCACAACGAAACATAAGCCATAGTCCCATAAGCACCACAGGTCCAAAACATAACATTTACAGTTCACCCGAGAACGCATCCGAAATAACATAAATAAAGGAGAAGAATGTACCAATGCTCATAAATATGATGTCATATTCTTACAAATCGGCAACCGAAATTACCCTCTAAAAGAATCTCCATAAACTGAACAAAAATAATGTTCATAAAGAGGTAGAAGACCGGTCTCCCTAAAACAACCAATCGGGGAGAATATCGGAAAAGACCGAGGAAACAACACAAACTAGTGGAGAGTGGGGCATCTTCTGTCAAAGAATAGCCCAACTCACCAGACTAACCAAAATCACAACCTGATGAAGTGGCAAACTCGGAGTTCCCTAAACCCGAGTTCTGTGGAAGACGAGTACTTTTTGTACACAAAATTCCAAGCATATGAACCTGATAACTTCAGGACTGAATGGACAGATGAATGACTTGAATGGACTGGAAAACTAATCATGGTTTCATACAACCATTTCTAAATGAACATAAATTATCAATGTACTTGAAGCAAAAAAAAACCAAAAATTCAATCCAGAACCGAACTCATGATGGAGCAGCAGCTGCAGCATAAGCCTTCTCCATTTTCTCCTTTTCGATCTCACTTCTCTGTTCAGCATGCTGAGCAACACCATTTGCAAGAGCTTGATAATGGGGATCCAGAGTCTGCATGAGGCCCTGAAACTTCATAGGATCTGATGCTTGCAAAGCTAAGGAAAAGAAAGTAAAAGCCCTCGTCTCAAACAATGCCGTGAAAAAATTGACGAAAAAAGATGCATGAAAACAATATTAAAGACGGATTAAAAGTTTACCCTTGACAGTATCTACAAAGAAAATAAAAGGGTCAACATCGTCGATCGGTGACTGCATCTCTTCATCATCACTAGAGTCATCGTCAGAGTCGTATTCGTCATCGTCGTCGTCATTTCCACGGAAAGCTTTAGCCTACAGAGAAAACAAGGTCAACAGGAGTGAAATTTATGATAGAATGGAGTATCGAAGTATAACTTCAAGGATCAAAATCGTGCATACCTGGGCTGCTAATTTTTGAAGCCTGAGGCTATCAGCTTCATCTTCATCCTCTGTATCGACTCCCATTTCCTTATCAGAAGCATCCTCATCATCATCAGTCTGGAAACCATCCATGTCATCGTCATCTTCAACCTCTTCCTCCTTTGCAGCTTCTGCATGCACAAATAATGAATGGAATTAATAACAGAGAAAGATAGAAGGATACAGTCTCAAAAAGACGGCACCCCCTCCCCAACAAATACGAGAAAGAGAAGGAACTCGAAACCTGCAACTTGATCCTTATATGCAACTAGGAGGTCAAGGGCGGCCCTGAAAACACGCCCAAGAGCCTCCCCGGATATCTGTTCACCAGGGAGTGCAAGAAGTGTCGTGAGACCCAAGCAGCAGACTTTCTTATCTTGTTCCCTGTAGAATCCAGATAACTTATAAGAATAGCCAGACAATACCTGAAGTGTGAACTTCGTTGTAAAACTAATGATATTATGCTCAAGGCTTGCACAGACTGATACAGAAAATGATCAAAGCAAATACAAAACCATCTACCGCTTAAAATTAGCCCGCACGCCACTCTTTCTAACTTGTTGCAACAACTGGAACCAAAGGTTGAACACTTCCGTCATAAAAGCGAACTTATTCAATATGCCGAGTGTCAAAGCTGCATTGTAATATACTGCATTGGCAATCTGGTCAACGAAAGCGAGTGTTGTGTTAGGAAATCATAGACCAAAAACGTTTTCACGAATACAAAAGCATTTCTGACCGAAGGAAAGCAACAAGCAAAATGTGTAATATATATAAGACATGATGTTATCATGACACTTTACCACTTTTATAAAAAGACATTTCAACCGTGATTTCTCTGTTTGATTCAATCGATCGAGTGTGATTCTTAAATATGGCTCAACCCAGTGATCCACCTGCCCTCTACAGTTCTGAAACACAACTTCAATCAGCTTGGGGGCTGGCTCAATATCATTGTCCTCTAAATTTTTATCTGCCATAATCTGCAAAAGAAAAAGTACATGATATAGGTGTTATAAACCAAAGAGATTGACATATAGGTACGATAGAAAATTCACAAGATAAAGACTGAAGAACTTGTACTTCATTCTCATTATCCCTTGAAAATTTTCCATCCACACGCAATTTATGACTAAAAATGAACTCACAGATGAAATCATATTCCAAAGACTGTGCTGGTAGTCCGGTTCCTTGCAAGCAAGAAAGTGTGCCGTACCCCTGGATACATAGTTGTCCAAAGGAACCAAAATGTCTGCATGAAAACAGCTACACTTTGAACAACAAAAATATACAGATAAAGGGGAACAAATAATGATAAATCGAAATTAAATGAACAAAATGAGTATGGAATTTCCACTTTCTGTTATTATAATGTAAACATAATCGTATGAACCTACTAAAACAAACATAAACGAATTATCCATATTTTATTATAAACAAATCTGGATGCCTAATTTGCAGTGGCAATCTCATATTAAATTTAGGGATGATTGTCTTCACACCTTTTCCAGTTAACAAACACAATTAATTTATTAGGCAATGTAGATCTTCTGAAAACATGCAAAAAGCAGTAGTTCCAGATCGGTAGGTTACGAAAGCTTTTCAAGGAGCAAATAGGATTACTATGTAACTTAGGCCGTGACGAATTTCAGCTAATATAGATAAGAAGAAAACACTTAAAAGTGTTGATATATAGAGCCAAGTTAACAGATTCAAAAATATTCGGTTATTAGAATAATGAAGGAACCAAGGCAAAAAGAAAGTCAAAGCAAATCATACTTGGAAAGAAGTCTATTGCCCAATCAGCTAATGCTTCGATCATCAAAGGCCAAAGGCTCCACATATCCAACGAAATAGTCGGAGTAAAGAAGGTCATATATGAAACAATCTCCAAGACTTCTTCAAAAACCTCTGCGGAATAACAAAAAAAAAATTCCGATGTAACGACCCCATAAAACGATATAGTCCAAATATCGTCTCATACAACTCAACTTTTACATGTATGAAATGCAATAGCCGATCCAATAAAGTATTTGATAATGTATTTTATAAACTCAATTTTACAGTTTCTTCAGCACAATAAACCTAGGTTTGATTTTAACTGTACATACCTTGTCCATCAGTTGTCAACATTCTTTGCATGATCGGAAGCAAAGTCGGCTCAACCTGAACAAACAGGTGAGGAAGCCCGCTAACTGATTCAAGTATTGTACTTACGGCACGCAAACAACCAACTGCAGCCAGAGCACCAGGATCATCAGCTTCATCATCAACTTCTGCAGTGTTCATACACCTCCAGAATGCAGCTGCCTGAAAGCAGAGACGTGATGATAGTTTCGGGCATGGACAATTGAACTTAACAATTTAAAAGAATTAGCGGAATCATGCATTACCAAATTCTGACATAATCCAAGAGCATAAGGTGCCATCTCCTCCCCGAACTTGTCAATTATAGTCTCCAGGGTAAAAACAAGGTCCTCGTTCTCAATCTCATTCATAAGTTTAAAAATATCTGGAAAAAAATGAAATTGAAACTATTCACCAAGACGCTTGAATAATAAAAAACTGTGTATCGTGTGAACGGTCAATATAATCATATACGTGATCTGAAAGTTGAGGAAAGAAAAAAGAAAGCAACAGCAGTCTACCCAAGAGCCAAGTTAACATTGAGACAACCATCAGATAATAAGAAGCTACTAATAAGATATTACAGGTACTAACTACCTCTTACCGTCAAGTAGTTGAGGAAGAATAGCCCGAATATCATTTAAATCTGCATATAAAATAACTTCTTTTCAGTTACAATGTTAATGACAAAAGCAGACATGTATAGTATCCAGCTGACTACAAACACAGGCTTAATCGAAGTTTGCTCTATCCAAAATCAACTCATAGAATTTCAAAAAAAAATTCAAAGCAAATCAGCTACCTACCTTTGCAAGCTTCAACAAATGATCTCAATGCAAAAACTGAATCAACGCGTACTGGAAGTTCTGGATCACGCAACCCAGAAATAACACAATGCAGTGCTTGGAGGAAATTATTCTTGTCAGAGAAGTTTACATTGGCATATTGTCCTGCTACCCATGCCGCCTAATAATCAGATAAACGAACGGTATAAACGAAGAAAATATCCACAAATGCAAATGTGTGTGTTTGTGTAGATGAAACCTTGAAAAAGAGAACTGAAAAAGATTAAAATTGAATACAAACCTTGGCTCTCAGATGACCAACAGGACTGCGGAACTCTGGGAAAACATGTTGCGTCAACATATGTTCCAGTTCAGATTTATAGGGCTCGGCTTGTTTCAGTTTATCGCAAAGTGCTCCAACAGCAAGTAGAGCACCATCCTTCTGTCGGTAGGGTTTATATTCTAGAGGTGCTTCATTATATCTGTGCAACAAGAAAAGGATGACATGAATATACGAACAAAACATAAAACAAGTCAACATCAAAGAATCCAAAATCCTGTCTCTATAGGGGCTTCGAATGGAAAAGAATACCTCTTGAAAATTTCAACAATGAATTGAATAAACTTTTGAAGATTTTCTTTTCCACGTTTTCTGACTAACTCATTGATGAAGTCCATGGAAGCAGTCCTTGGACTATATAAATCTTCAATGATATCTGGAGAACAAAAATAGAACGTATCACAAATGTGGCTCATACAAGGTTTTGCGACAAGCACACCAGATTTAGGAGCTTACCATAGCCCTTCCTAACATACTCATGTGGATCTTCCTCCCAAAGCTTCTGGTCGTTGTCATTGAAGCACATGAGTGGGAAGACAATCTCGAAAAGAAGAACGTCAAGCTGCGGTTGCAATAAAGTATACATGCTATTTTTCGATATGCTGCATATAAATGAATGTTAATTCAGTCAAAAAATACATATGAAACATTTCTAACAAAAAAAACGTTAGAGGTATGGGAAAAAACAGGCGATGCAGAATGCAGAAATTTCATCTTGGTTGTGTGATGTAATCAAAGAACCCTACCATCATAAATATATGGCAATGGAAAGAAAACATTCAAAACAAATCTTAATCTTTCAGTTGAATGCTGCTAACTTTTAGCCTTGAAGAAGTGGATGGCCTAGTTATCCCGAAGGAAATGCCGGCTCTCACTAAACATCTCAAACTAAGAAGAAAATCAAAAGCACCAGTTACTGACATGATTCAAGCATAAACACATGGCAAACCTGTTGCTTAGGTACTGAAGAATAAGGTTGGTAACTCTGTCAGGGAGATAGCCACCAACACGAATAACTCCCAATAAGTTCAAGTGGCATTCCAAAATCTTTCCTGCGTAGTTCTTTTGAAACATTTGGGCAAAAGCCCTGTTTTCTGGATTCCTAAGTTTTAAATCTCCAAACCTATGAAAAAGCCACCAAAATCACAAATCGGAAACACGAGGACTACAACAAATTACTCCAAACCATGTTCGAATTTTCAAGCTTACCTAGTATATAGCCTATTCAAAATATGAACAATCCATTTTTTCACCTTCCACCACCCCCATGACTTCCTGAGCTCAGGATCCATAGGTTGGCCTTCCAGTGGTACAGACCTCTCCAAAACATTTAAGAAAAGCATCATCCAAGCACTGAATGCATTAGGATCAAGTAACTGCTTAGGGATCTCCAACTGAAAAGTACAAACAATATCCCAAAGACAGCATGTCAGTCGTAAAAACAAATCGCATGGAACTAATTACAGTAGACATAAAACACTGAATAAGAATGATAAAACCAATTTGATAACTTACATATATAGATGACCAGAAAATTTTACAAATAAGCTTTATTAGATCCGCTACTTCTACTGCTGGTTTTTCAATCTGGACAAGTCTGTTGAATATAATTAGAAGCTGAGGAAATGTCTCCTCAACGATGCGGTGAACTGGAGTTCTCTCCTCGTCCAACTTAAACCTAGAATGATAAATAAAATTATGATATTAGTATCCAAAATCAAACAAAAACAACATAAAGATGTACTGAATTAAGAGAGAGAATGATTAAAACATTATAACATTTTCGAATGGAAAAAACTGCATCCTAGCACATATTCCACTCGAGGCCAACGAATAATGTTAACGGAATTAAGCACACAAATACACAATTCGCATCACCTTCAGTGAGCAATTTACATTCTGAAAATATCAAAAGCACAAACTGAAAACAAAAAGAGAGAAACTTTGAAACCAAAAAATAGATAAATGTGATATACACTTACTCATATTTTCTAGCAAGTATCTGCAACACAAACAAGGCCCCATAAACCTGCTGATCCTGCAAGTTATGCTTCACCCAATCCAGAAGTAGTGGCCACTGCTCCGGATAATCGGCATGGATAATAGTCTTGAGACACTCACCCAATTGCACCCTGCATTAAAAGTATAAAACCAATATGATGCATAAAGTAACATACTAACATATGCATGTAATCTATACGAACAACCAAGAGGGACAACAAACAATGTTACCTCAACAAAGGAGGAACTTGAGCTACAAATACAAGAATATGATCACGAACCACATCTTTATCACTTAGCAGAATTTTCTGTGGCTCATCTACATTCATTAAAAACAAAGCAAAGCAAAGCATGTTCATATTCATAAACATAAACATAAACATAAGCCTAAAATATGCCGAATATATATATTTTAAAAAATGATTGAGAGAATTTATACTATGATCAAGAGGAGCCCAATTCTTGGCAATGAAGTTTTTGAACTGAATAGAAGCAACTTGACGAACCGCCAAAGGACAATTATTATCAACGACGATCTGTAACAGTCTCACCAGATGCTGAGGCGTATGCTGAAACTAAAACCAAACAAAATCCAAAAATAAAAATTCAATCTTTTGATCTAATAATCAAAACAAATTAATACCAATTAAAAAATCAATGAATAAAATAAACCTTATTGAGGCTTTCTTCAGCAGCTTTTCGTTCAGCGGGATTGGGGCTAAGTGCAGCTTGAAGAATCACAACAAGACTTGGAACATCCATTTTCTCCAATATTAAAAAAATCAAAACTTTAAAATTTAAACAAAAATCTCTAAATCTTAGTCACTCAAACTCAGTTCAATGAGATGAGAATCTAAGATTTAGAGCATCGGAGAAATTTGAAAGAGAAAAATATGACTGATGTTTACTAGGGAAGACAGCTACAAACTCAGAGTGGAGTCCTATGCCATTTAAACACTAGGGTTTTAGCTATAAAAATAAAAAAAATGGATAAATTATGTTTTTATTATCTAAATTATCAGTATTGATCCGTTTAAGTCTTTAAACTTTTAGTTTTTTAAAACTATACTTAATATTTAGTTTTTATTTTATTTTAGTACTTTGCTGAAACTTTAGTTTTTGTTTTATTTTAATATATTTTTCAAATTTTATCGTTAATTTTTAAAAAAATTGAAAGTTTAGGACTAAAACATACCAAAACTGATAGTTTAAGTACTAAAATGAAATAAAAACTAAATTTTAGGTATATATTTACAAAAATTAAAAGTTTAAATACTAAAATAAATCAAAACTAATAGTTTAGATACAAAATACATGATTTACCCAAAAATAAAATATTTTCTTTTAAAAAAAAGCATTAATTCGGTATTACACGTGTGGTGGAATGTTATGTTTTCTATACCTTAACCTTTCAAATCGGTGTCGTCGTTCGTGCTTGACTCGAGATAATAAGACCTTAGTCGCACGTGTCTCTATGTAAGCAAAGTTTCTTATTTATTAATAATTTAAAGGGTAAACTACACAAATGGTCACTAATGTTTAAATTTTTATTTTTCCTATTAAAGTTTTAAAAGTAACATATTGGTCACTAACGTTATCAATTTATAATAAAATGATCTATCTCCGATAGCAACCGTTAATGGGGTAACGGAATATGGCATATTATATCAGTTACCTTAACCTTTGTAAATGTTCTTGTCGAAACGATTTTTTCTCTTTAAAGGTGAAAATGTGAGATTTTGAAAACCACATTAATTCTTAATTATCTCTTTTTAATTTAAAAACAAATGTGATTTAAAAGACCTCTCGTTTCGAAAAATTTTGAATTTCCTTTACGATCGAAAAATACAGTTCGAAAAGTCGCCACCAATATTTGATTAGGGTGTGATTGGGCACCCAAAAATGCTTTGTCGTTTTGAATAAAACTTAATTTTAATTAAAACAATAAATTGAGGTCTGCATTACCAAAAAAAGAGTTCGGGAGTCAGTTACATGTGGGGAAGGATTAACACCCCCACAACGCCCTAAATCGGTACCTAGTCGATTAATTAACGTCTTTGCAATGAACTTTACAAATTCGAACTTAATTTGATTTTTGATCCAGTAAAACAAATATATAAATTTAAAAAATATTCAAAAGCACTCAAATAAATTAAATTAAAATTACCGAGTCGTTTTAGAAAGATAAAGAATGTTCGATTATTTACAAATATTGAGACCATATCTTAAAAGTTATAATAACCTTTTCTCGATAAATTTAAATAAACGAACATTTCCTTTTCTTTCGTTCCCAAATTTTAAAGCGATGGATCGATTTTTTTAGGTTTCACTTTCGGGATACACTTTTAATTTAAAATGATCATAACGGCCCTCTAATCAGTTAAGACAGGCCACCCAAGACAATTTTAAATTAAAAGGGTATTACCCTTAGTCCGATTATGTAATATGTCGAGTTATGCAAATGAAGCTATCATGCATATTATGCAAAATGATGTCATGCAAAAACTAATTAAATAACGTCACATATTCAAATGAACACCTAGGTCTAAAATAATACATACACATGCACTTATGGTTATCTATTTTACATAGGAATTTTACAAAGGGTATTACCCACCAAACAATGCATGAAAAGCTATAGCAAAGACGCTCAATCAATACCACGATAACTACAAATTGTGACCGAACGAATGTTTGTTTTACGACCACCAAGCCATCCCAGTACCATCGACGCCTCACCTTATACACCACACCCGACCCTAGACATGACCCTAGCATGACGACAAGATCTCGACCTGAAACCCAACTATTCTTCCATCATCTGCGTAAAGACTTCAATACAGAACTGGATATGATTCCTGAAATTAATATAATTTGGCAACAGCTTTTAAAAGTGAAAGCATATTCGAGCAAATGATTAAATATGAATATGATCAGATACCTATGTTATCGAGAAAAACATAGAATGCTTCCCCTAGTAAAAGGAAAAAAGAAGAATGCATGCGAACAGCAACATACCGATATGTCTCATCCCCCAGAAAGAGCAGTCAGTATTGCTACAATGGATGCTCATGATGATTGTTTATCAAGCCCTCGAAAGTCCTGGTTTTGATATTTTGCTGCCATGGTGCTCTACAGTCTTCTCCTGTTCTTCCATTGCTTAGTTCATTCGGTTTCACAAAAATCTTGCTTCTTGATGACGGTGGTGATGGAACTCAGACAAAAAAGAGCAATTGGGGATTTGAGTTATAAAAAGAAAGTGAAAGAGGCATAGCAAAGAAAACATAAAAAAGTAATTTGACCTCGTGTATTTGTATAGAGGGGTATTTTAGTCAAAGAACTTTGCACAGGTTAAAGTAACTGATATAACATGCCATGTCAGCATTCCGTTACCCAGTAACGGTTGCTGACGGAGAGTGACTATTTTATTATAAATTGACAACGTTAATAACTATTATGTTACTTTTGAAATTTCAGTGGAGAAAATAAAACTTATTCAAACATTATTGATCATTTGTGTAGTATACTCTAATTTAAATCTACATATAGATTTATCTATTGATAAAATTTAAATTTAAATTTGATTTAATAAAATTAACCCGTCAGAAAAATCAAATAAATAAAAGGGTAAATTTCATGTTTACTATATAAACTGTTAGTTTTGGTCTATTTTAGTATCTAAACTTTCAACTTTTTCAAAATCATAAATGAAGTTTAATTTCTGTTTCATTTTAGAACCACGTTCAGAATTTAACGTTTTGTTCTGAAAAAATTGAAAGTTTAGGTACTAAAACGGACCAAAACTAATAGTTTATGTACTAAACGAGTTAAGTTTTTAACAATGGGTACTAAAATGAAACAAAATGTTAGATATGATTTTGAAAAAAAAATGAAATTTTAGGTACTAAAACGGACAAAGATAATAGTTTAGATACTAAATATGTAATTTACCCTAAATAAAATGATATTTGACTTGCCAAATTAATGATCAAGCGATTGTTTAACCCTTTTGTTTTTGATGTTGTGAATAGAAAATTGAGTTTTAATTTGGGTAAAACTATCTTCAAGAAAGTAAGGTGTTGTTTGGTAGCTTGATAAAATTAAGAGTTGGATTAAATGCAAAATACTGAAATGTTGAATTAAAGTTATATTTTTTTATTTTACTTAAATTTAAATATTGATTATAATTAGATTATCTTTAAAAAAATTCTAAAATAATTTGATAATATTACACGATCATATTATTCTTTTAATATATATCCATTAAAATTTCATATTTATCACTCTTTTATGCATAAACAACTTAATATATTTTATCCGAATTCGACAAGCTCGAACTATTAAGTGAATCGAATTCAAATATCTTAATACCTCATTCGAGTTGCTCAAGATCCTAATCAAGCATTCTACTTTTAATCAAAATAACCGATTCGAAATCAATCTCGAGCATAAATAATCAAACATGAAGCTGAACATGAATTCGAGTTTACTTTTCAATAAGTAAACATAATCGAATAAGCGTGAGTAGCTAGATCTATATTCCGAATCAAGCTTGAGCTCGACTTGGTTACACCCTCTACCTCAACTGTAACCTCATTTTCACCCGAAAATACGAAGAATAAAATATAAAAATATATATAACTTGCATAGCAAGCTAAGCTATGCCATAGATCGGAATATGCAATAAGTGAACAATAGTTGATGTGCTACAATTGCTTTATCCCAGTTTGTTGTCCTATGTATACACATACATGTACAAGCTATGTATGCTATTGCTATTCCATCATTTACTTTTTAAATGGAATTCTATTCTATCATGTTGATCATTCAACAAACCATGTTGAGATGAACATCCCGGTTTCGATTTTATATTTAATTTCCTTTTATCTTGAATTCATTGTTAGTCGTCTACGGTTTTACTAGCAGCTCGAAAAGAAGTGCAGTAACGTAGCTAGCATGATCAAAATCATAATAAACCTGGCCTTTGAATGGCAAGCAGAAGAAATATAGTGAGAACCTACTAAATGCACTGTTCCGGTCCTTTCGTCCAGCACTTGTATGCTTGAAGAGCCTGAAAACAAAGATACGTCAGGAAACCGGAAGACGGAAGAACCCTAGATCTCTCTCGCACATCATGTAGTTCTTTCTAGCTAGAATTGATACTTCCATAGTTGACGACCATGAAAAACATTACGTATAATAGTTATATTCAATCGAAAGTTGAAAATAGAAATAAATTCGGAAAATCCATTTTTTTAAGCGATGAACGAGTTACATGTAGGCACTATGTGATAAAGAATATAGGAGACTCACTTCAAGGCAACTAATCTGGTTAAGAATATAGATAGAAAATAATGGTATATGCTTTTAAAGAAAAGGGAGACTAACTATAGAAAATTAGTAATACTCAAGAATCGAACACAAATCAAATCAAAAGAAGGAAAGCAGAAAGATATCTTATAAAACAAACAAAACAATAGCAATAGCTCGAGATATACGCCTATTTAGCACAAAACTTATTAACCAAACAAGAAAAGTAAAAGGATACTCACAATTGTACTCGGTCCATCCAATGGATTGATTTTCCAAATCATACACAACGAGCTTGTTTGAAAGCACCAAATCTGTAAGAAACCCAACAATGTTGAGAGGAAGATTACAAATTACACCCATCTCAGCAAATTTTGTTTGCAACTTAAGATCTAATACCTAAATAGACATTACCATAAAGAACGTGCACTAAAGCAACTAAGTCCTCCGTTTTGTTTTGGCAAGTTACCAATCAGAACACCAAGCATTATATCAAATTATCCGCCAAAATAACACAAAATAAGTCATTATAGGGAGAAATATTTTTAAAAAATACTCCAAATGTTTAATACCAATGCAAAA